TTGTGGAATAAAAGCTCCATTTGATAATGAATCAATTATTTATTATAGTGCGATCTATCAACTATAATACTTGCGTGTAAAATATTCTGACACTGAAAATAATTATAGTTAATCACTATATATAATCGATTCATCGTATTTGTAACTAGGTTTGCAAATTAATTTATCTATTTCTTACAGTCTAATTTGCTACCGAAGTAATTAAATCGACGTATCATCTAGCCATCCAAACTTAATCAATTCGTATATCAACCATATAAGATTTTTTTTTTTTTTATTAGTTGTGAAATTTGGAACTGAACTCTAGACGTCTGGATGGTTAGAGACTAAAACGGATAATTTAATTCCCTCCAAAATAATGTTTTAATCCTAGTGTTTCTGGAACTTCCATCGTTCTAAAATACGACCAGACATAAGATTTAAAAAACCAGAAATTTTGGGTAAGAAAGCACATTGCAAAGTCCGTTGACTTAATCTAAAGAGTAAGTCACCCGACAGGAGCCACTCTCAAGTGTTCCTAACAAGTGACAACGAATTTAATAGTGTTTTTACATATATGACAAATGGAAATGATAGGATATGGTGTGGATTTCCATTTTGATAGGATATGATGGGGATTTCCATTTTGATTCCGATCGAGCCTTCGAAAAATATTACATATTCCCTTTGTTTCACAAAAAGTGTCATTCTACACTTTTACACACATATTAAGAAACTATTAAAATTTCTATTATACCTTTTATTAAAACACTAAACAAAATTCTCTCTTATTAATACATTAATGAAATAAGGTTAAAATTAGATTTTTACTCAAAATTTTGCATTGAAAATACAAAATGTCACTATTTGTGAAACAAAAATAAAATCTTAAAATGACATTCTTTGTAAAACGGAGGGAGTATTTTAAAAAGACAGTGGCTGGGAAACCTACTACAGTATTCGATAAAGACAGTGAAATCAAGACAAAAGCCTCGCTGTTACATTGGGAAATTTTGAACAATTACAATTATGTTAAGATTATGAAATCTCCCATTTGCCAACATATGTTTCCACTTAATGACCTAAACATTGGTATTAGCTTTTAAATATACCAAGTTAGTTAATAGATATTATCAAAAATGAAATTCTTCATTTAAAAAAAAATCTTATGGTTAATTTGCTAACATATTTTCCCACTATAATTGAGCCAATTCAACTGGCGGAGAACAATATTCAATGCGTAAAAGAAAAATTATTTGCCATAGGGTAAATGCTAATTATTTGAATTGAGATTATATGTCAGCATCGTTTTTCATGTTTAAGCGTATAAATTAGTACATCTTATTGTTGCTTAGTCACTTCATAATCTTATCAATTGTTCGAAAGAAAGTTAGGTGAATGGATTTATTAGTAATTATTGGACGAAAATTTGTGCCTGACGTTGCATATATATCCGAAAAGCTCTACATTAAAAGAAGTTGACCTATAAATACCTATAGCAAGTCTTTAGATACTAAATTTCCATGAACTTCCACATATCTACTATATATCTTGTGATTCTCGTTTGCATCTCTGTCAGATAATGCAGAGTCATGTGCGTGACATGATACTCGGTGACCTCATAACACATCTTACCAACCTTTCATTAAATGAAAAAATGATTATTGATACTTAATTTTTTTGGTCCTGATCGATCTAGTAATTGTTGGAAATTTGGAATGCAGTGTACTTAATGGTCTATCATTTGGAAAAATGGAAAGAAACAACAGTTGTATCGTATCACAAGATAAACTTGGACATATCTTGATTAAGTCAATGACCCGCTCCACAAAAAGATCATATCTTGTAGTATACCATATTACCCTAAAGGAGAGCTGCAAATTGTTTTGGCAAATCCCACAAACCAGGATAAAACTGAGAAAGACAATTTTGTTTTGTAAACAATTGATGATAGGATCAACCACAGCTTGTTTGAAACATTTTTATTTGTGGTTTCGATGATCATTTATTATTAATTTAAAATATTTTCTTCTCTTTTCTTTCATAAAATTTTGGAGATCCTTGACATGCATATATTTATCACAAAAATGATCAAAAAGGGATATCGTCTATAACTCGTTCATATATTCACACTATCCAAGTTAAACATGGATACGACAAAACAGTGAGTGGTACATATACATGTCAAGGTTGACTCTTCGTTCTTTTATTTTAGCAGGTCAAGAAAACAATAATGAGGAAAGAATATATCTATGAAATGTTATCTATGAAATATATCTATAAAAAATCACCCTCACCTAAAAAAAAGTATATGGCCTTTCAGGTTCTTGGAGTTTGTGATTTTTGGTCGAGTTTGAAATAGAAGGTGTTTAGATAAACTAATTTGCTGGTCTTATATATGATGTTGTTAGCTAAGATAAAATAATAGCCACAAACATGATTTTGTTATTGGATTAGCTAGATACTTTCATCTCCATTACCAAATCTATAAATATCAAATGCCAAAATCTGTAAGCAAATTTTCAAAGAATGGCATCAAAAATTTCCAAACACATGAATCATCATTTCCGAACTAAAATAGGGAAAAAGATACAAGCTATTTAGTCGGTCAGTGTTCTTCAAGCTTTGAAAGTGAGAGGTTACCATATTTTCCTAGCGCCACCTGATGATACCGTCGAACTAGGAGTGCTAGGTGATACGGTAAGCGAAGTATGGCCTTGTGCAAGCCTTTTAGATTGAGGATACCCGAAGCAGCGAGGATACTGTAGGTGTTGCTTAACCAAAGGGCTACAAAAGCGGAAGAGCAGATGTTTTCATCTTTCTTGTGTTGAACACTGTTTTGGGCTCGAATGATTTGCAGTTTTAGCCCTTCCCCATGAATGTGTATAGATGTTTGTGTTTTGTAACCAACTCATGATATGGTAGGAATAGGATTCACCTAGGCCCAGTGGCGGAGCCAGAGAATTTCATTACTTTAGGTACTATTTTTGGCTTTTAAATATTAATAAAACATAACGGAGAATAACATCATGTAGTATTGTCACAAACCCCATAACTTATATATGATTTTACATAAAAATAGATAAAATTTTAAAGAAATATTTAAATCTTTGTATGAGATATGAGTACTGTAGTCTCAATAACTATTTCCTAATTTTGTTTTTTATACAAAAGGTATAAAATATAAATATTTTTGTTTATCAAGATGTATAAGAATGAAAAAAAAATTAATATGTAAAACAGATAAAAATTATGTATTAAAACTTAAAAAGACTAAAGAGACACATAAATAAGAACAATTAAATAAAGAAAATTTGTAAGAGGGGGTCAAAAGGAGTAGTTTAACGTGAGCCAAAGGGGTCAACTGAGAAGAATCAAGCCAAAATAAGCCATTATGTACCATTTAAATAAGCATGCAAACAAGAATTCTTAAATGTCATGGGGGTCAACTGACCCCCTTGGTTATGAGTTGGCTCCGCCCCTGCCTAGGCCTTGTTTCGAATATTCGTATATATGGCGATTTTTTCAAATATATAGTTGATCACTCTTTGTAGTGATGAAAATTTCTTCTTCTATTAGTTTTTCATAATTCTTTGGAGATTAGTCTTGAAGTATATAACTTTTGTCATGTGATTTTATCACAAAATTGATCAAAAGGTTGTTGCCTATTGCTTTATAATAGTAAGAAGCTTGAAGAGGAAGTAACCAAATAATGCCCTAATTTTGACACGTTCTAAATAATATATATAGTTCCAGGGGATAAATATGCAAGAGTTAGTGGGATGTTATTGGACATTCTTTTCTGGGCACTGGACAATCCTGACAAGTATGGTAAGGACCCAAATTTGGTGGTAATCTCAAAGAACATCAAAGAAGAAACAGACTTCGTCACTACTCTCGAAGCTTTGGAAGGGAGACATTTCAATGTTTTCTTAGCACTGCCTGATAAAGTCCAACCAGGAGTGCTACGTCCTCGTGTAAACGCAGTATGGCTTTGGAGTAGCCTATCATTTGGAGGAAAGTCTATCGACCAAACTCCAATCTCACAACGTCTTAAGCTCTGTTTTGGTTCCTAATGATTTGCAGTTTTATTCCTTTCCCATCAATGGATATATAAGCTCTTTTCTTCAGTGTCTCAAACTTTATGATATATGTAAATTATATCTCTTAAATCAAATCAAAGTTTGCTCACGTCTATATCTATCTGTTTCGTATATCCACTTTAGGGATGTTGTATGATTCAGCAACAAGAAAACTAATGAGCTTTAATTGAGTTTTACTTGGTTTGCTCTGTAGATGTTGTCAGGAACTCAATATTAAAAGATGTATATATAATTAGAGAGTACTAGTTAAGGAATTTTATGAGACATTTGAAAGTTGTTGCTGAATTGAGTCTCCGAGCATTTTAGCCAGGATATGTTCATCAGAAACCTTGCGATGAACTGTCCAGGTGGATACATTTTGAGCAGCAGCCAGTGCCTGCCCATTAAAAGATGACCTGTATGTGAGATTGTTGTGGCACAAGAACAGAGCTCACTATCAATGTTTCTTTTGTAAGGTGCATTAAATCTGAGCCTTTATAATTTTCCCCACTCTGTTTCTAACTTGCTTAATTGTGTTATTACAGACATCAGACACACTTATACAAGTCACCATTTTCAGAAGATCCTATTTGTGTCCTTAATGCAAACACTGGTGTGACTATACTTCCACAAGATAGAGGATTCAATCGAGAACCGTGATGAGGCCATCTTCTAAGCAATATTCGCCTGAGAGGTAAACCCAGTTCCTGAATGCTTTTACAGAGATCTATTCCTCCAACACAAACAGCATTCATTCCTGTATCTATGTCAAACAACTGCAGTTGATTCCTTCAGAGATCTCAGCTTGTCAGCTTGTCTTACTCTGCTAAATGGGGATGCAAATGTCTTCTTAAAAGGCGGTTGATATGTAGAATTGTATAATATGATTAAAGACATATGAAAGTAAGTGATGCTTATAAATATATCTCAAGACTAATCTGTATACAGAATCTTGTTTTATTGAATAGAAGAATGTAAAAAGAATCAACAAAAGCTCTGATTTTAAGATCTCTGAGCATGTCAAAAAGCTTAAAGCTTTGAGATGAGAGAATGGTAAAAAGTAGCACGAGATAGGTAAGTGACTTTCATGGTCTCCTTGATCTTGAACTCAACAGTCACCACCGACAGATTCCTCCCAGTCCTCACCACCGATCCCTCCACAACCAATTCACTCTGCAAAATCTCACACAATTAAGCTTCTCTGATTTGAAGATCAGAGTCTTGAGAGACAAGAATGAATGTTTGGTGGTGGCTTACCGAAATAGAAGCAGAAGAGAGATAAGACATACTCAATTCACCAAGGAACAGCTGTTTGTCTTCAGACACAACAGTTTTCACACAAGCCATCGCTACTCTCTCTGCAATTGATGCCACTGCTCCTCCATGTAACCCATTAAAGAAATTCTGATTTCACAACACAACCAATCAATTTTACAAATCAAAGATCGAAACTTTACGAAACCCATTTGATCTAATTGCAAAAAATAAACAGAGAGATGGAGGAGATGATTACGGCTATGCCTGGCGTGACGATGACGGAGCACGAGACACGGCCGCGTGAGATGGAGAGAGCTCTGGTGTTGCTTTGAAATAAGACAGAGAAAGAATCGAAAGAGGTGAAATCGTTGCAAGAGGAGTCTGGGGAAATAGCTTTGAAGAAATCAGCAACCATTAATACGTAATTTGGATCGATTTCTTTGGATACAGCCGTCGTCTCTGACGAGATCGGAGAAGACGACATTGTGGTGTCGTCTGGGCACCCAGTTTCACGGAATTTTTCCCAATTCATTTTTTAACCTAATCTGAATTTTTTTCAAAATTGAATTTTTTTTTTTGTAAAATGTTGACTTTTCTCTCTTTTGTAATTAATTTTTTTCTATTTTTAGAAAGTAAAAAACAGTAAGAAAATTTTTAGGTGAAGTGTACAAAAAACTACAGCCACATTTTTAAAAAAATGCCGATCTATTAGTTTATTCACTATTTTAAAATTTTGAATTAGAAAATATATTCAATTGGATTTATAAAATTTTGTTTTTTTGAGAAAGTGTAACTAATGAAAATAAATTGGTGAAAAAAAAATATGAGCATCTTATTGCTTATACATTATACATCCTGATATAACCCTTTTATTTATCAGATTTATTCATATATAATATGTTTTATTTTACAGTGATATAAATATATTAGTTTAAACAGAATTGAAAAAGTTCAAACATTCTTGACTTGTTTGTAAATCCACTAGGTTGCTCTCGAAACCTGTTAAACATATGAGTTCAAAGTTTCATATCGGTGTGTATAATAATAAATAAGTAGTTAACATCACAAAGGTATATAATTACCTAAAGTTTCCCAGCAAGCATGTATGCTTTGTAGAAAACATTCTTGACTTGTTTGTCATCACCCCAAGCTTCCTTAAACTCATCAATCATACAAGAAGTTAAAAGATCTTCCCCTTGCTCCTTTGCCTTCACTAGAGGCTGCCATGATTTTAAAAACCCTAAAAATCCATTAAGCGAAAGCTTGTGTGGAATCTCAAGAGCTTTAGGCCTTCCTTGAGTCCCCATTCTTATGTTTTTAAAAGGAAACTCTATTGTTCTATAACCATCAAACGCCAAATTCATAGTCGGGTTTCTGAACGGTAATGTTGAATCCACCAGACGTTTCATGATGGAATCAACCTTTGGGGTGATGATGAGATCGTTGTAAACCCAAACTGCGATGATACCACCTTGTTTACGAAGAACACGTTTCACTATGGGGTAGAATCTCTTAAGGTCAAAGTAGTGAAGAGCTTGAGCAGCTATTATGATATCTATGGAGTTTTCTCCACCGAGTAGAGTCACTAGATCGTCGTCGGACATTGATGATGGAGTGTGATGGTAAGTGACTTTTGGGTGCTTCATTGCACGTTGGAGTTGTGATTCATTTATATCAGTTGCCACCACTTTCTCGTAGTACTCAGCGACCTAATTACATAATATATAGTTGACTCATGATTAGTTCATTGAGGCATCACATACAAATTATATATTGTGGTTTAAAGAGTTTTTGAGGAAATGATATGTATCAAAAAGTTCGAAATAAGACTCTATATTCATTTGTCGATTATAATTTTCTAAGTCGTCTAAAAACTATTGTTTTTATAGAAAGAAAACAAACCCCAATAGCAGCCTGACCGTTGCCGGTCCCAACATCCCAAGCCACCTTATGGTTGCTGGTTCGACCAGCCAACACTTTGTACCATAATGTAGGATATTTCGGCCTTGCGTTCAAGTACTCATCAGCTTGCTTTCCCGACAAAGCAACCAATTGAGCCATTTTTCTCTTGTTTCTTTTGGTTAATAGATTGCAATTTTGCTTCATAATTAATATTATTTATAGTTTCGAAAATCTGGAAAAGAAAAAACGCGAATCTCATACCTTACTCAACTAGATTAGGTCTTAAGTCTATTTATTCTTTGAAGATAAGGATGCTAGAAAAGATGATATAGAATTTACAGAAATATAACGTCTAACATCGCATTTATGCTGCAATCCACTATAAAAGAACATGTTTATTATTATTCCTCACCGAATTGAAATAACAATTATCGCATAGGTTAACTACGTTATAGATTTGTCCGCATTAAGGAAAATGGATTAGAAGAAAAAAAAAAAGGAATGGGTGATAAATCACACCAAACTTAAGGTAACACAATAATACATCGGTTTTTATATGTATAGTAAGATATGCATATTTTGATTATGATAAATTCAGATGTTCTCTTTTTATCTGGTTAACTTTCTTTTAGATTCACCTTTACTGATTTACATCAACTTTATACAGTATCACATCAAACATATGTATACTGACAGTATATGTACATCAAACAAATGTTCTCTTTTTTTCTTCATGATGTCATAATGGTTGAGAAAATTGCAGAACAAAAACTATTATTACAATTATGTTTTATACGCCTATTAAAGAAGATGATCAAACCCTAACACTCTCTACAAAAAGAACAAAGTTAGAACCACAATAAAATCCTCTGCCCAGAGAAACTAAAATTGAATTAATGGAGAACAGAGGAGGCAACGTGACGTGACGGTTAAGTAACTAAAATAAAATTAAGTTTAATTAATTTTTGATGGTTTAGTAATTGACAAATAAACCCAGAAGTGAAAAAAAGGAAACAACACATGAGTTTGAAAAAAAAAGGAAATTTGAATCCCAAACACATGTGAAAAAAGGAAACAACAGAAAAAAGGAAACTTGAACCCTAAACAAATGAGTTTATAAAGAGTCTCATCGTTTTAGTATCATCGATCATCCAAACAAACCAGAGAAACAAGAAACAGAGAGAGAGAGAGAGAGAGAGAGAGAGAGTTATATAGTGAGAAATAGTCTCATCGTTATACTCTCAACACTTATAAACCCTAATTTTGCTCTCTCTCTTTATCTTTGATCAATTCTTCACAACTTCTTCGTCTTGGCGCTGATCTTTGATCCAGATGCGGAATTTTTGTCTTTAGGTTTCGAGAGAAGGACTTAGCGTGTTCAAATCATCATGATGCGGGATGCAACAGAGCAGTTTTGAGGAATCGAGACTACATGTGGATTGCTTCGCCAATTGCAGGTTTTTTCTTGAATTCACATCTTCGCGGCTGAGGGAGGATGAAGAAGATAGAAAATCAGAGTTTGGTATGGCCTAGGCAATGGGCTTCGCTGTCTCGGCCCATCTCCAGGTATGACTTTCTTAAATTTGTTTTTTTTTTTATATTTAATAAAGATTTTGATTTTTCACTTTGATTTTATGATTTCAAACTAAATTTTAAAAACTAAAAAACTAAAAATAAACTTAATAACTAAAAACAAAACTAAGTGTTAAATTGAAAAACGTTGATAAACAAGTTCGACTTAGCATCCCGTCCTTTTGGTCCGTAAGTCTTGAGGTATCATAAGTTTAACATGTTTTCACGTAATGAAAATTTAACACTTAGTTATGTTTTAAAAAATTTTAAAATAATATTTTAAGTAAAACTTTTTAAAAAACTTAATAACTAAAAATAATGTTAATAACTAAAAACAAAACTAAGTGTTAAATTTAAAAACGTTGAAAATAAGTTCGACTTAGCATCCCGTCCTTTTGGTCCGTAAGTCTTGAGGTGTCATAAGTTTAACATGTTTTCACGTAATGAAAATTTAACACTTAGTTATGTTTTATGTTTTCACGTAATAGAATTTAACATTTAGTTATGTTGTAAACGGTCTTTAAAAATTATATTTAAAGTAATTTTTTTTAAAAAAACTTAATAACTAAAAACAAAACTAAGTGTTAAATTTAAAAACGTTGAAAACAAGTTCGACTTAGCATCCCGTCCTTTTGATATGTAAATCTAGAGATGTCATAAATTTAACATGTTTTCACGTATAATAAAAATTTAACATTTAGTTACATCAACTTTATACAATATCACATCAAACATATGTATACTGACGGTATGTATAATACTGTATATGTACATCAGACAAATGTATTACTTTCCCCTTTTTAAATTTTTCCTAGAGGATATACTAAAGGTAACAAAGTTTATGTCAAGAATGTTTAAGACTAGATAATTTATCTGTGTGATGACTGATGAGTTTCATGTCCTGCATGTGAGGTTATTGTTTCTCCAAAGATTATAGAAATGTGATATATATATATATATATATATATATATATATATATATATATATATATATATCTTCTACTTTCTCAAAAGATTAGTTTTGTTGCCATTTTTTAAAGAGATCCAAAAAAAGTATTTTATTCACTGTCACCGCGCCTATATTAGCTAGTTATCTCAAATAGGCATCAAGAAAAAAAGAGCTGTAAATAATGAAAATCTACGTCACATGTAAATATACTAAACGTGTTCAACTTTAAATAAGACAAGATGAAAAAAAACGGCGTCGGATTAGAAGTCTAATCTCCCAAGAACATCAATTTGTGAGCTACGTGGCTTGGTTGGCCTCCACACTCGTCGTATGGTTTCTGTGCATTCACTGCATGCGCATAAGAAGAAAAAAAAAAAGAAACGCCAATTATTGATACTCTTTGCCTGAAACCCAAAAGAAAAATAGGTTCGAAAATGGCAGAGGAAACTCCAAGGTATGTCTCAAATCTTCTCTTACTTCTTGATTTAGTCTGTAATTTTAGTGAGTTTGGTTCTGATTTTCTCAGATTTTTTAATGGTTTTTGTAGATATGCTGTAGTTACTGGAGCAAACAGAGGGATTGGATTTGAGATATGCAGACAATTAGCTAGTCAGGGGATTAGAGTTGTTTTGACATCTAGAGATGAGAAAAGAGGACTTGAAGCTGTTGAGACACTGAAGAAAGAGCTTCAGATTTCTGATCAAAGCCTTGTTTTTCATCAGCTTGATGTCTCTGATCCTGCTAGTAGCACATCTCTTGCTGAGTTTGTGAAAACCCTATTTGGGAAACTCGATATCTTGGTAAGATTAGTGAACTCTCTTTGATCAGTTTACGTCTTAATCTGCTCCTAGCTAGTAGACGAGTGATTAAGCAGGGACATAATGGAGCCGTACCTTTAGGTTTGTCTAGTTTCTGAACTGTACCATTTTTGTGTAATGTTGAATGATATTTTTGATTGCTTTACAGGTCAATAATGCAGGGGTTGGTGGTATAATCACTGATGCTGATGCTCTAAGAGCTGGGGCAGGGAAAGTATGATAGTCTTTGTGTTTATATATTTTGCAATCAATTACTTTCATGATATTATTTTGGTATTGATGATCTTTGTGAAGTTGAATGGTTTCTTCTTATATTTGATATGGCAGGAAGGTTTCAAGTGGGATGAAATCATCACGGAGACTTATGAGTTAGCTGAAGAATGCATCAAGATTAACTATTATGGACCAAAGAGAATGTGTGAGGCGTTTATTCCTCTTTTGAAGTTATCTGATTCACCAAGAATCGTCAATGTATCATCCTCCATGGGTCTACTAAAGGTAAGTAAAAAAGAATAGATATCAAGAAAGCTTGAGAGATGTATTGTTGGCTAAGAAACACTATTTACGTTACAATTGATTATTGTTTACCAGAATGTACTAAACGAATGGGCAAAAGGAATCCTGAGCGATGCAGAGAATCTCACGGATGAAAGAATCGACCAAGTGATCAACCAACTTCTCAATGATTTCAAAGAAGGTACAGTTAAGGAAAAAAATTGGGCTAAATTTATGTCAGCTTATGTGGTTTCGAAGGCCAGTTTGAATGGTTACACGAGGATCTTGGCGAAGAAACATCCCGAGTTTCGCGTAAACGCGGTGTGTCCTGGATTTGTTAAGACAGATATGAACTTCAAGACTGGAGTTTTGTCTGTGGAAGAAGGAGCATCAAGTCCTGTGAGGTTGGCTTTGCTTCCGCATCAAGAAACTCCTTCTGGTTGTTTCTTTAGCCGCAAGCAAGTTTCAGAATTCTGAATTTTCTGTGTGAGAATTATAGTTTGAATGTAGAACATAAACTCTTACATAAACAAAAACTTTATAGTGTTTGCTTTGCTCTGCCGCTGAGTGTGTTGAGTGTTACAAAACCTTTCAAATTCAATTATGCAGACGTTTTCGCTTTTGTAATTGCATTTTTGAGCATTCAAAAACTGAACTTCCTAGATGCTAACCAAAATGTGAAACTTCCCAAGTAGGCTGATTCTGTTCTAAGTTCAAGTTGTAAAAAGATACGATTTAATGGATTTTACAGCAAGAGTTGTGCTTCTACTGTTTCTTTTTTCGGGTTTGAAGCACTTAAGAGTGAACAAGTCCACAGAGGCTAAGCTAGTTATTATATGGCGTCTAAACATTACTCATAAACTTGAATAAAATCACTTTACAAAATTATAGAATAATATGCAGTTCCATAAAAAGAAACAAAACAAAATTTGAGTCTACTTCATTGCAGTACTTAAAAAATATGTGCTCTTTAACAATTTATGATTATATATTTCACAAAGGAACTCCTGGATTTACTTAGGACGACTCATGTTCTTCACCTGCTGCATCAGAAGTGTCTTCTTCTGTAGGGTTTGCTTCATTTTCTTTGGGTTCGGTTTTGTCTTCCTCAGCCGCTGTGCGACGGTGGTTAGCCGCAGCTTGGAGAACATGATTGTAATTACCTTTCTCAAGGAAAAGCTGACTGAAATGGACCTTACAGTAGAGGATACCATCGAGAGCAGCATATGAAGAATGTGTTAATGGACAACCACTATGTGCACATCTGAAGCAAGTCTTGTGGTAAGATTCTCCTTCCATTGTCATTTTCTCTAGAGGATAAACTGTTTTCTTACAAGCTGCACATTTGTCTTGTGTTCCGCTAAAGAACGAAGATAACCTGTTTGGAGCCCTCGTCTTTGCAGATGATCACACCAAGAAATCAGATTAGAAAACAAAAAGAGAAAACAGAGGAATGTTGATGAATTATGTGCATACCGTTTCATTCGATTTCTCGGTCTTTCCTGCTGTAAAAGATCAAGAAGAGAAAGTAGCCAAGATTGTTAGCTTTTTTCAACAGATGTTAATAAAAGAACAGAGCTAAAAAAACAGAGGATTTTTTAGCAACCTGTTTGGAAATTTTTGCTGAAATTTCCAGATTCTTTGAAGAGCTGTTCAAAATGGGTCTTGCAATACAAAACTCCATCCATGGATGAGTAGTTACATATCTGCAAAGGAGAAGAAAGATTTTCTCTTTGTATTTTTCATAGAAACAAAGGTACAATGGAGGAAAAAAGAAGAAGATAGATAGATACCACGAGAGTGCCATTGCAATGGCTGCACCTGAAGCATGACTTGTGATAAGGCATTCCTTCCAATGTCATCAAGTCCATAACGTATACCGTCTTGTCACACGCCTTGCATTTGTCTAGTGTCCCTGTAAACGCCGCCATTGTTATCTCTTCTTCTTCTTCTTTCAAATCACGAAAGAGATGGATCAAAGTTTTTGTTGTCGTTCGTTTAGACACGAATGTTTTTCCCCATCTATGAGCTCTCTGCCTTTTTATTATATCAAAATCTAGGATTGAGATTTTAAGGGGTAATATTTTCTACTAATGGTTGAGATTCGAATGAGGAGAGCCCTTAAAATGTTTAATCATCTATATTCTATAATCTAATTCTGGCTATCATCAAAAACCAAAACACTATTACCCCCGATTAGGTGCAAAGCTTATATATAGCTAGCTACCCCCGTGTTTTAGGAAACTCACCACTATCTCTGAATCAACTTCCAACTCCAATCTCGTGATACGCTTCTCCCAAGCTATATATAACCCGTAATACACACCCCATAACTCCGCTAAAGGTGCCGAGCATATACCAATGTTCAAAGCGAATCCACCTCCCCAACTCCCATTTCCGTCTCGCAGCACTCCTCCTGCCGTGGCCAGGCCTGGATTGCCACGGGAAGCTCCGTCGGTATTAAGTTTCATCCAACCTTCACCCGGCGGTACCCATTGGATCAGCCTCTCCTCCCGTGCTACCTGACTAGTACCTTCCAACACACGCAAGCTTGCTGTGTATACTTCTTTGGTTTGGTCCTTAAGAAAACGCACTCTATCCCTACATTTCCAATCAGCACCAAAGACATTCCCGCAACGCCATTTCCAAGCCCACCAAATTCCCATAGCAAACATCGTCGACCATGGACCACCCTCCGTATCCGCATCATTACCCAAATTACTATAGAGCCATTCAAGCACAGACTGCGCAGTAAAACGCTGGATTCTTTGTACAGCCACTGTTCTCCTCCAAATCCCCATCATAGCTTCACAATCCCGCAGGATATGCAATATAGTTTCATCACCACTCTTACAGACCGAACAGAGACTTGTGTCACTCAAGTGGCGTCGGTGTCTCTCAGCATTTGTCATGATCACCTGGTGTACCACCAACCAAATGAAAGCACGCACACGTTCCGGTGCCACCACTCGCCACACACGATCAAAGAATTTACCCATGTTCTGTTTTGGTGAGCTGTCGCGGGCAAGAAAGGAGTAGGCTGATTTGACCGTAAACTCACCATTGACACTCTCCCCCCATGAGTATCGATCCCTAGCTCCCGTAACATTATCCACAACCATCGATGCAAGCCGCAAATTAACACTCTCCGAAGTGAACTGCTTCACATGAGCAAAATCCCACCCGTAACCATTCCGCCATAAGGCATTGACCCTGACCTCTTTAAAACTTGCAGGTAGATCCCGGTTTGCCAAACCACACTACATTACAAGACTGCCTTTTAACCACATCTTTAACCTTTTTTTTTTTTTTTTAACATCTTTGGATCGACAAGGCCCGATCCATAGCCAATCCCTACTACGCGGGGTAACGCGATTTAGTGGAGTCGAACTCCGGTGAGGAAGGCGGAGTCAAATGGACTTAACCATTTGACTAAAAGCACATCCCCACCACATCTTTAACCTATCAGTTCATAATTATAAGCATAATTTGTTATATTAGATAATCATTAATCAAAACTAGATGAAATTATTGAAAAGGGCAAAGAATCAGGGGGTCTAAATTGACAAAACAATAGAACATTGGGGTGAATTATCCACAAAAAGGGTGAACTTGAAAGAAAAGGAAACTATGGGTTTATACGATAAATAACATAAAAGATTAAGGGTCATTTATTTATTTAAATAAAGATAAAGGGGCATTTCGATAAATAGTGAGTGAGTCTGAAAGAAAGAAAGAGGAGAAAATCCATTGACGCCCTAACAAAAAAAGACGCCGGCGAGTGTGTGTATATTCATTCGTCACTTTCTCTAGTTTCCTCTAACCGAACGAACCACTCTCAAATTTTCCCGAGAAAACTTTTTCTGATTGTTTCTTTTCTTCTTCAGATTGTGATAATTCCAATCGGAACTCTCGATTCGCTTTCTTCTCCAGTTTTTCTGGCAGACCGGTTTTGTGGTTTTATTTGAACATTCCCGATCTTGCCCTGAGTTCCACGATCAGTTTCTTTAAACCCTAGGTTTTCAACGAGCATTCTCTTTCTCTCTTTCGTTCTATTCTTTGTAGTTTTTGTAAAAGGTATTTTCGGTAGATTTAGGGTTTGTCTGTCTCTAGTTTTCGAGATCGAGAGAGATTTGTCATGAATAACAGAGGAAGATATCCACCGGGTGTTGGAACCGGACGTGGTGCGCCGCCCAATCCAGATTATCAGTCTTATCGTCAGCAACAACCTCAAGATCAGCAGTATGTTCAACGCGGTTATTCGCAGAACCCTCAGCAGATGCAACTGCAGCAACAACATCATCAACAGCAACAGCAGCAACAGTGGTCAAGACGCTCTCAGCTTCCTGGAAACGCTAGTAACGCTAACGAGGTTCAAAAGACGTCTCAGCCCGAAGCTAGCAGCGATGCTAAGTAAGTTTCTTGTTCCTGAATACGTTTTGTTGCAAACCATGGAGTAGCGATGTTATGAATGATTTGGTTTGCAGTGAGTAATGATTTGTGCTGTGTAATGTGATTTGATTTGAGGTTAAGTTATATCTCTTTTGAGTGCTCATGGATTCTCTGTTATTCTCAGTGGTCAAGACTGGAAGGCAACGTTAAGGCTCCCACCTCCTGATACTCGTTATCAGACAGCGGTATGGCTTCTTTCTTCCGAGTTTTTCTTTATAGGAACTAGGAATCTTGAGGATATTGGTTCTTCTTTCTTGGTAAAAACTCATGATTAACAATGTCTTCAATATTGTCTGCAGGATGTGACAGCTACGAAAGGAAATGAATTCGAAGATTACTTTCTCAAAAGAGATCTGTTAAAGGGAATATATGAGAAGGGTTTTGAGAAGCCATCTCCAATTCAAGAAGAGAGCATTCCAATTGCTTTAACTGGTAGTGATATTCTTGCTAGAGCCAAAAACGGTACAGGAAAGACTGGTGCCTTCTGCATTCCAGTCCTCGAGAAAATTGATCCATCTAACAACGTTATTCAAGGTATGCTGTCCGTTTTCCTTGTTGAATTGATAAGTGATCAGTCATCTAGAGTGAAACCAATGTGGGTTCTTTCTTTTATTTGTGAAAAAATAGTTGCTGACTGTTTGTGTTTGTCTTTGCACCACTTGTTGTTCTTTCTTCTTATGCAGCCATGATTCTAGTTCCAACACGAGAGCTGGCCCTTCAGACATCACAAGTTTGCAAGGAGCTTTCCAAATATCTGAATATCCAGGTTATGGTTACCACTGGCGGTACCAGTCTGAGAGATGATATTATGCGATTACATCAACCTGTGCATCTACTGGTTGGAACTCCTGGAAGAATATTGGATCTTACAAAAAAGGGTGTCTGTGTTTTGAAAGACTGTGCGATGCTTGTAATGGATGAGGTGAGCTCCTGATATCTTTTCCTAATACCTAGATCTTAACTATATTTTCGTTTTGTGATATGGCTCCTCAGGTGTATGTTACTCATGCTATATTGCTAAAATAGATGATGAACAAACTATAGGATTACTGCTAAAAGGAAATTTTCTTAATTTTTTCTAGGATTTTCTCTGTTAAAGATTCAACATAATTGATTGTGTCCTCCTCTATATATATGCATAGTTATAATTGCTCATGTTAACACTTAACGGTCATTTACCCCTTACTTTGGTGAACTTTAAAGTTCTTTCTTCTATGTTATATTTACCTGAGTTTATTATTTTTTTGTTGTGTCATAAGCTTCAAAGTTTCTGACTCCTTAAAAATGGTTTTGCCAGGCCGACAAGCTTCTATCTGCGGAATTCCAACCTTCTCTTGAGGAATTGATACAGTTTCTGCCCCAAAATCGTCAATTTTTGATGTTTTCTGCTACATTCCCTGTCACTGTGAAGGCTTTTAAGGATCGACATCTCCGGAAGCCCTACGTTATCAATCTCATGGATCAACTCACGCTTATGGGTGTCACGCAATATTATGCTTTTGTTGAAGAAAGGCAGAAGGTTCACTGCCTCAACACACTTTTCTCTAAGGTCAGATGTTTAGACACATCCCTGTAACTACAGAATTATTTGGCACTTGATTTGGCTGTTCTAAACTGGTTATGGTTTTTGAATCCCAGCTGCAAATAAATCAATCGATAATCTTTTGCAACTCTGTCAATCGCGTGGAGCTGTTGGCTAAGAAAATCACAGAACTTGGTTATTCATGCTTCTACATTCATGCGAAGATGGTTCAAGACCATAGGAACAGAGTATTCCACGAGTTCCGCAATGGTGCCTGCAGGAATCTCGTTTGCACTGGTATGCTTTGTGTTTTCTGAGAATGTACTTTGAACATTGAGCAAGTGTAGATTATGATGATGATCTATTGAAAAATGACTGCAGATCTGTTTACTCGAGGAATTGACATTCAAGCTGTGAATGTAGTGATCAACTTCGATTTTCCTAGGACTTCTGAGTCATATCTACACAGGGTAAGTCGAAACAAAACTGGTTTGTGATCTAGTTTCTTACATCACCATTTTTCTTATCTCTGTGTTGTGAAATGTTCAGGTGGGCCGATCAGGACGGTTTGGACACCTTGGGTTGGCTGTGAATTTGGTAACATACGAGGACCGTTTCAAAATGTATGTTGTTCCTTCTTTCACACTGTTCTAACCGGTTTTTCTTTTCGTCATAGTTTTCTTAGTCATTTATCATGTTTTGAAAACAGGTATCAGACTGAGCAAGAACTTGGGACTGAAATCAAACCAATTCCGTCTAATATCGATCAAGCAATCTACTGTCAGTAAACTTGTAACCGTGCATGAAACGTGTCTCCACCCGAGGAGAGATACAGGATGATTAAAATGGTAAGAGTAAGACAAACATTGTCAAAACAACATTGAAATAAAAAAAAAACTGTATTGCATCTTTAAGACCAGTGTGCCCAATATTTCAGGTGTTTCTCAAGCTCGATGGGAGGAGATGAGGCAACTAGTACTTGGCGGTTCATGTAAAGACTCGTTACTGAGTGGTTTGGTTTCTAATCTCTCTTTAAGACTTATGTTTTCTGGTTCTATGAAACCTTTTTACGTTGCACTTATTATGAGACTCTCTTTTGACTTGGTTAGTAATAAAGATAGACCGTATGACTCTCCTCTTTTTTATTTTCGTGTTGGGCTTTGTTTGGAATTATAAAGCCCATTTAGGATCTCTTTAATCTTTATCATGAAAGTTGCACTTTTTAATTTTTGCTTCCCCAAGGAATTATTTGGATTTTCCAAAATAGTTTCTTCCGCATGCTTATTATTCTCGTTTGGTTGTTAATTCACGTGGAAATGGAGTGACTATTTAGTTCGGCAAAATTTATGTTTCAATAAATTTTCATATGATCATTAAGCTATTTTCTTCCGTAATGTTTTTCTGTAACCAATCTTGTTTTTTAGTGTTGTTATCCATTGAGAATTTATAGTTTTTAAGTGTTTATTTATTAATTTGGGTTATTAAATAATTTCATGTAAATCTGAATCCTGTGGAGATCTCTCCCTAGTAGATAGATGAATAGATATGATGCATTTAACTCTTTCATGAAAATAAACATATATACACATATGTAGCAGAAAAAGAAGCATATCTATGAAAACACAAATATAAAAAAAAAATGGAAAACGAAAAATTATTAATATGAAAAATAAAGCTTTGACTTGTAACTGACCACATTTATGACATATATATAAATGGGCCCCAGTCAGTGTCTGCAAGGTCCTTACACAACAGTATCTTCTCTTTCTTTGACTCTTTGTGATCCCTAAGCCTACACATATTACGTGTCCGCTTTCTATAGGATAATTTCGTGACTCTGTAATCTTTTTTAAGTAATAGTGAAATTCGAGTTAAAAACTCAGCACAGAAACTTCGACAAAAATAACTCACAGATTAGAAAAGAAAATATATGCATAAATGGTCATGGTTCATTTATGAACAATTTTTCGTTCTTTAGTTTATAATTTCATTAAAACATGTTTGTCACATCACATTTCATTTCCTTCGGCTCCTACAACAACAAGTCACTGTCATCTCCATTACTTCCACTTCTGCTCCTTTCTTTATTAACTTGTTCAAATTTTTTTGCTAAGATAAATAACAATAAATGTTGCTCTCTGTTTATTATTTCCCGGCCAAACAGGGATGTCTCGTATTATCCGCCATAAATGCTCTTTTTTTTTTTTTTTTTTTTTTGTCAATGACCATAAATGCTCTTTTGTTTCCTGTTTCTTGCAATTTGAAACCCTGAGAATCCTAGCCCACTTCTTTACTTTGCCTTAGCTGTTTTCGACAATAAAAATTGGGGTCATATCAATCATATTTACACACCTTCAAAATTGAAGAAATGATTTTGTTACTGTTTCTATGAATCAAAAATCTCAAGCTTTGTGCTCCTAATGCTCAAACATTTTAATATTTCAATAGATATGATTCTTTTTTATTTGCATTTCTCGAACAAAAAAAATCCAAAAATATTTGCAATCATGATTTTTTGTTTTTGAAGGACCTGTAGTTGCTGTCATGAACATTAAATACAAATCTATTAAATGTTGTACGAATTTTGCGTGTAATAAATGTCCAGGGCCGGCTCGAAGCTCGCTGATCGTCCTTTTTTCGTGTCTCTCTAGCAACACACAATCGTATTTATTTCATTTTTTTCAATATATAAATGTAAAGAATCATCATGGATCGTAAATTCATTGCTTCCTTTGGCTTTTTATTTCATCTAGACGACATTAAAACCAGACCAGACCAAAAACATTTATCATTTTTTCCTTTTTTCAAAAATTCTCTCTTTGATCCTATCTTCTTCTTTTTATTTTCACTTTGGGGTTTCCCTGTCTCTTCTATGATGAGTCTAAAAGTCTACTAGCTGTTCAATAGTTTTTTCTCTCTGTGTTTCTTCTTTTTCTTCTTCAACCAAAAGAAATCGAAAGGGTTTTTCGTTTTTGTTAGTGAGGTGTGGGAAAAAAAATGGGAAGAACACCTTGTTGTGACAAGAAAGGTTTGAAGAAAGGTCCATGGACGCCTGAAGAAGATGAGGTTCTTGTTGCACATATCAAGAAAAATGGACATGGAAGCTGGAGAACACTTCCTAAGCTTGCTGGTAAAACTCATACTCTTCGACTTTGTTAGATTCTTGGAGAAAGTTCAAGATTTTTACGAAAAAACTCCATAACCATGGTTCTTTACTTGTAATTTTTTGGCCTTTGGGAAAACTCCATTGACTAGTAGTGTTCTTGAGAGATTTCATGGAGAAAAGCTTGAATCTTTATAAGTTTCTTGTTGGCGATGGTGAAACAGGTTTACTTCGCTGTGGGAAGAGTTGCAGGCTGAGATGGACAAACTATCTGAGACCAGACATAAAGCGAGGTCCTTTCACTGCTGAGGAAGAGAAACTTGTTATCCAGCTTCATGCCATTCTCGGCAACAGGTCTTTTACTTGCTTCTCCATTCTAGCTTCTTCTTCTTCATTGTCTGAATTCTGCCTTTTTTCTGTTTCCTCAGGTGGGCTGCTATTGCAGCACAGCTTCCAGGAAGAACAGACAACGAGATCAAGAACTTATGGAACACTCATTTGAAGAAACGTCTTTTATGTATGGGTCTTGATCCCAGAACCCATGAGCCATTACCTTCATATGGGTTAGCCAAACAAGCTCCATCTTCACCAACTACTCGCCACATGGCTCAATGGGAAAGCGCTAGGGTTGAAGCTGAGGCAAGGCTTTCTAGAGAATCAATGCTCTTTAGTCCTTCTTCTTACTCTGGTGTAGTTAAAACTGATTGTGATCACTTCTTACGCATTTGGAATTCTGAGATTGGTGAAGCTTTCAGAAATCTTGCTCCATTAGATGAATCAACTACTAGTCAAAGCACTTGCTCGAGGACAACATCTACATCATCTGCACTTCTAAAGAGCTCAACAATTTCTTGTGGAGGGAAAGAGGTTACTGTGGCGATTCATGGCTCAGAGTCTTCTCCATGTTCAAATGTTCTTGAAGATGATTCAACAGACTCTGCTCTTCAACTTCTGCTTGATTTTCCGATAAGTGATGATGATATGAGCTTCTTGGAAGAGAACATTGACAGCTACTCACACACTCCTGTTGGTCTTGTCTCAATGGTTTCTAAATTCTAATCTTATCTAAGAAAAAGATTCAAACTTGCTTCTTTTTGGTATTCTCATCTTTAGTGATCAGAAGTAGAGGAAATATAGTATCTATGTAAATCAGCATTAGTTAGTTGAAGTACTAAATCAATCCTCTCTTTATGATTTTGATTATGTTTGAGAAATTTGCAGAACAAAAACTATTATAACACTCTACAAAGAAACAAAGTTATATCCACAGTCAAGTCCTTTACACCGAGAAACTAAAATTTAATTAGTGGCGAACAGAGTATGGCTACGTGACGGTTAAGTAACTAAAATTAAATTAAATTTTGATGGTTTAGTAATTGCCAAATAAACCGAGAAGTGAAAAAAAGGAAATTAACACATAAGAGTTTTTGAAAAAGGAAATTTGAATCCCAAACACATGTAGAAAAAGGTAAAAAGGAAACATGAAACCCTAAACACATGAGTTTATAAAATATATAGTCTCATCGTTTTATTATCATCGATCATCACATACAAACCAGAGAAACGAGAAACACATAGAGAGAGAGAGAGTTATATAGTGAGAAAGATGCGATTTCATTGTTTGATTTTTTCGGTTCTCTTCTTCGATTTCTTTGAATTCCATGAGTTGTTGATCATCGGCTCAAACCTTGACCAACCAGACCAGAAAAGAGAAGAGCGTCGTGGTGGAAGATGAAGATACAGATTCTTCTTCGTTTAGAATAACTCCAGAAATTAAAGCCAATGGTCGGTGGTGAATTGTGATTCGGCTTTGTTCTCTTAGCCGTTTTCCATTGAAGACGATCAAGTCTAGTGAGAGATCTCACAAGCATCACGTCTTAATAAATCTACCGGAGCTTTTGATAGGACTTCGCGGTGATATAAACGTCAATTGACGACGGAGATGGCGATAGAGGAGGTGGATTGATCGGAGATCATAGGATTTGTTTTCAGTAACGGTCGTGGAGAAACTAACGGTTGGATTGCAATCTTCAAAACCCTACGAAGCCCAACAATAAGAAAAGGAAATTCAGCACAGAAAGAACTGTCAAGCCCATGAAAGTCCATACGATTATTAGTCAGGTCAATTTCTATCCCATCTTAATATTCATTTTAAGTGTTCTTTTTTATTTTTAACTAAAACTTTTTTACTATATAAACTATTATTATTAAAAAAGTATTTCAAACTTAAGTGTTAAATTTAAATACGTGAAAACAAACCGGATTTAGCATCCCGTCCTTTTGGTCCGTAAGTCTTGTGGTGTCATAAATTCAACCCGTTTTCACGTATTGTAAATTTTTACACTTAAGGTTTTTCTCAAATAATATTTTACTTCTTATTTTTAACTAAAAATTTTTACTATATATACAAACTATTTTTATTTTAAAAAATATTTTCAAACTTAAGTGTTAAATTTACAATACGTGAAAACAAACCGGATTTAGCATCCCGTCCTTTGGTCCGTAAGTCTTGTGGTGTCATAAATTTAACCCGTTTTCACGCATTGTAAATTTTTACACTTAAGGTTTTTCACAAATAATATTTTAACTTTTTATTTTTAACTAAAACTTTTTACAATATATACAAAATAATTTATTTAAAAAAAAGTTTTCAAACTTAAGTGTTAAATTTACAATACGTGAAAACAAACCGGATTTAGCATCCCGTCCTTTGGTCCGTAAGTCTTGTGGTGTCATAAATTCAACCCGTTTTCACGCATTGTAAATTTTTACACTTAAGGTTTTTCTCAAATAATATTTTACTTCTTATTTTTAACTAAAAATTTTACTATATATACAAACTATTTTTATTTTAAAAAATATTTTCAAACTTAAGTGTTAAATTTACAATACGTGAAAACAAACCGGATTTAGCATTCCGTCCTTTGGTCCGTAAGTCTTGTGGTGTCATAAATTCAACTCGTTTTCACGTATTGTAAATTTTTACACTTAAGGTTTTTCACAAATAATATTTTACTTTTTATTTTTAACTAAACCTTTTTACTATATATACAAACTATTTTTATTTTAAAAAATATTTTCAAACTTAAGTGTTAAATTTACAATACGTGAAAACAAACCAGATTTAGCATCCCGTCCTTTGGTCCGTAAGTCTTGTGGTGTCATAAATTCAACTCGTTTTCACGTATTGTAAATTTTTACACTTAAGGTTTTTCACAAATAATATTTTACTTTTTATTTTTAACTAAACCTTTTTACTATATATACAAACTATTTTTATTTTAAAAAATATTTTCAAACTTAAGTGTTAAATTTAAAGTAAAATTTTAAAAACTTAAAAACTAAAAATAAACTTAATAACTAAAAATAAAACTAAGTGTTAAATTTAAAAACGCTGAAAACAAGTTCGACTTAGCATCCCGTTCTTTTGGTCTGTAAGTCTTGAGGTGTCACAAGTTTAACATGTTTTCACATAATAAAAATTTAACACTTAGTTATGTTTTAAACGGTTTTCAAAAATAATATTTTAAGTAGAAAAATTTAAAAACTTAAAAACCTAAAATAAACTTAATAACTAAAAACAAAACTAAGTGTTAAATTTAAAAATGTTGAAAACAAGTTCGACTTAGCATCCCGTCCTTTTGTTCCGTAAGTCTTGAGGTGTCATAAGTTTAACATGTTTTCACGTATTGAAAATTTAACACTTAGTTATGTTTTAAACGGTTTTCAAAAATAATATGTTAAGTAAAAAAAATTTAAAACTTCATAACAAAAAGTAAACTTAATAACTAAAAATAATTTTTTAACACTTAAGGTATTTCACAAATAATATTTTAACTAAATTGTTTTGATATTTAACTAAAATTTCTTTACTATATACAAACTATTTTATTTTAAAAAATATTTTCAAACTTAAGTGTTAAATTTAAATACGTGAAAACAAACTGGATTTAGCATCCTGTCCGTTTGGTCTGTAAGTCTTGTGGTGTCATAAATCCAACTCGTTTTCACGTATTGCAAATTTAACACTTAAGTTTTTTACAAATAATATTTAACTAAATTGTTTTGATTTTTAACTAAAAGTTACTATATACAAACTATTTTATTTTAAAAAATGTTTTCAAACATAATTGTTTTAATTACGTGAAAACAAACAGGATTTAGCATCGCGTCCTTTTGGTCTGTAAGTCTTGTGATGTCATAAATCTAACCCGTTTTCACGTATTGCAAGTTTAAAACTTAAGGCTTGTAACATATAATATTTTAACTAATTTTTTTTTATTTTTACCTAAAACTCTTTTACTATATACAAACTATTTTATTTAAAAAAATGTTTTTAACCTTAAGTGTTAAATTTAAATACGTGGAAACAAACCGGATTTAGTATCCCGACCTTAAGGTCCGTAAGTCTTGTGGTGTCATAAATCCAACCCGTTTCACATATTGTAAATTTAACACTTAGAGTTTTTCATAAATAATATTTTAACGAAATTGTTTTGATTTTGAACAAAAAAAATGTTTTAAAACTGGAGTGCTAAATTTAAATAAGGGAAAACAAACCGTATTTAGCGTCCTGTCTTTTTTAGTCCATAAGTCTTGTGTTATCATAAATTCCATACGATTTCACATATCTTAAATCTTCCACTTAGTTAAGTTTTAAAGTTTTTCACAAATAATGTTTTAAGTAAATTGTTTTGATATTTAACTAAAAAAATTTGGTTATACAAAATATTTTCATTTTAAATGAAATTGAAGTGTTATTAATTTAGTGTTATTAGTTTGAAGAACTTTAAAAAATCCCCTCTTGTTCTTAATGACTTGAGTCATCAGTCTTCTCTTCATGACGTGATAATGCTTGAGAAAATTGCAGAACATAATCAATGAACATATTTTTCACTCTGATTGTTGCACACAAAATCAATATACAAACAACATTACAAGCCATTGAAGAGAACAGAGAAATTTGTTTACACTTTACAGTTACAAAGTCTTGAAAATTTGATTTGCAAATTCAAGATTAGAAACATCCACAAGTTGCCTTTGGAACAATTCCAGTGGCTCTGTATTTAGCAGCCGTTTCTTCTGCTTTAAGAATGTCTTCTCCACGCTTAGCTTCAATCATTGCTCTTCTCTCTTCTGCTTCCTTGTGAATGGCTGCAACTTTGTTCTTCATCCTCTCAGCATACTCTGCTTTCTTCTTCTCTAGTTGCTCCTACATTGAAACAAATTCATAAACACTTCACTTCTCAATCACATTAAAACAGTTTCACCCCTCTATTGCTAAGTTTATTATACCTCGATTTTCTTGAGTTGCGCTTCAACAGCTGCTTTCTTGCTGTTTTCCCAAGCATGAACATCAGCAATCTTCTTCTCAGCTCTGTTTCACGTAAATTGTTAGCAAAATCAGACAAAGAACCTAAAAACACAAAACCTAAAACCAGTGATGATAAAATAAAATCTCTTACTTGTTCTCTGCTTTGCTCTTTTCGCTCTCTTCCCACGCTCTGACAAAAGACAATCTCTTCTCCTTTGACAAATCAGCTAGCTTAACATCTACATACCAAACAATGGAACTCAGTAACTTCCACAAACATTACAACCAGAAAGTAGTCACATAGTTTTGTTTGAGCTCACCTCTATCGAGCGAAGCAGACGAAGATTTCACCGGTGCAGGCTCTTCTACAGGTTCTGCAAGAATTTTCATTCCATTAAAACATAAACAGCAAAAAGTGCCAAGCCTCAACACAAAGAGAGGCAGAAAGCAAACACATACAAAACATAGGCATGATTCTGAAATAAAGCTACGATTTTTGGGTGATTAATGACCATATACATTGAATTCATAAGGTATGTATAACAAAAAAACAATATTTACCAATCAAGAACAGTTTCTTCCATAGTTTTTTTGTTTTATAAAGGCGTTTCATGACATCAATTGCCGTGTGATAAATCTCGAGACTTTTAATCGAAACCAATAAATTTTAAGTTTCATCGTTTCTCAAGGACCAATTTTATCTCTGGAGGAACCCAATCCAAATAACCTAATTTTTAAAATCCAGACCAAAGTTAACCCCAAAACCAATAATTTATCATTAAAGCAGAGGATTATCAGAGATCGTAATCCATAATTATATGCGTATAGAGAGAGAACTTACTCTCGACAACAGCAAGGGCTTTGGAGTCATCGGAAATTTGCTCCGGAGGTGGGTTTTGAATTTGCTCCTCTCCAACATCTTTCGTGACATCAGCCGGAGCCGGAGCCGGAGCCGGAGCTGGAGCCGGAATCTCTGCGGGAGTTGGAGCCGGAAGCCCTGCGGGAGCTGGAGCCGGGACCTTCGCCGGAGATTCTGAGTTTAACGCTATCTTCTGTTCCTCAGCCATATTCGTCTCTCAGCCGAAGAAACAGAGAGAACAAAAAAACAAATTAAAACGAAAAGAAAAATTGATTAATTGGCAGATATTTTCCCAAGCAACAGAAAGAGGTTTATACGTATTATTAGCCGCGTTTTTTTGTTTAAAATAACCTTATTTTCTTATCCGTTGATCGTTTAAGTCATCAGATCGGACGGTTATAAAACCATCTGTTCTGGATTTACGTGAACTGCGATGCACCTGAACACAAAAAACTCCGCTTGCCGACGGACAGGTAATGCGGTAAATAAATGCCACGTAAGAAATTGACATTTTCTTTTATTAGTAATTGTTTTTTTTTTTTTGTTAAATAATATGTCGGACGAAAGCGTGACGTGGAGGAGGACACGCTGGAGACAGATAAGATACAAAAATGGATGTCTTTTGTGAGCTGTGAGTTGTGGCCCCACGCACTCTATTGGCGCGTGGAGATTATCCTTTTTCCTTTGGTTCTATATCGTTGGAGCGGGTGTATAAGACGTGCCAAATAAGATGGGCCTGATTTATTGGGCTTAATTTCGTTCTATTTATCATCTCACAAGAAAAACTCAATTAGCTATCAGACAGGGTTTGTTTACCAAAACCAAAACTACTTGAGATCCCTCCGCATTACAAAAGGCTTTTTCTAAATTTTGTTTGCAATGATCTAGCTTCTAATTTATTCACTCTATAATGTTTGGTTTAAATGCAAGTCAAGAGAAATTAAGCATAAAAAGTTCATAGATATATATTACCACTGATTAACTAAAACTGATCCGATAACCCTTCACCATTCAGAGCTTAAGTTCGTATTCATCGCAATATTTCTGACATTAAAGATATAAATCGAGTGTCTATTTTTTTTGTCTAATCCAAGTAGCAACCTTTAAAGAAGTAAAAAAAAAAAAAAAGGAGGACAATCGTTCCTTTCCTTTTCTCTCTTTTCTCTCCTCTGTTTTAGATCTAGGGTTTTCTCGAGTCGCAGCCGCCGTAGCTTTATGTTCTTCATCGCCGGTGGCTGGGTCAGGGTTTGAAGCGGTGGTGGGCGCCTTCTTCTCCGGTGATGTGTGGTGTGGTTGCTCGATGCAAGTTGGTGGCTCTTCTTCTCGGCTGCTTGGAGGTGCGGTTCCTGCGTTCTGCTGGTCAAGGACGCTGGCGGTTCTGGGACTGTCTCTCTCGGCTCGGTGGCTTCAGAGATGTAGCTCTGGCTTGCGGCGGAAGTTGGGCTTTGGATTGGTGGGTTTCATCACTTTGCGAAGAGATTAACGGTAGATCTTTGGCAGGATCTTAGATGGCTAGATGCGGGTTTCTTTGGCCGGATCTGTGTGGTTTGTGGATAGTTTGAGCCTCTTCCATCTGCCGCCGCCGTGTTTGGCTTTCTCTTCGCCGGATCTGAAGTTCGGTTTGCTCGGGTTGGTTCGAGGGTGCTTGACGGAGGAGGTAAGGGTTAGATTTGTGTTCTCTCTTCTTGCTAGGTAGGGGAGAAGAGAGGAGAGGTCTCGGTTGTGGCAGATCTACCTTTCCGAGAGGAATGTTCCGGTTGTGGCGTGTTTCCGGCGATGGCTTGAGGCAAGAACCGCTAACTCCGGCTGATTGCTTGTCGTCGGATACTCTGTTGCTATGGAGTCGTCCTTGTTAGCGTCGGTCTTCTAGGTTAGATTTCGTGTTTTCCGGTGTACCGTCCGGATCAGATCTTCTTTTTCCGTCAATCTTCGATTTGGGCTTTTCCTATTTTGTATCCGTGTAATTTCGCTGGCCCAAAAGCCAAAGCCCAGTTTGGGATGAATTTAATATATATAAAAAGTAATTTAAAAAAAAAAAAAAAACAAATGTAAGACCTCAAATGGCAAAATAATAAAAGTTAGTGGCTGGAATCTGCCTGATTTTCAAGTTTATCTTACACCCTCGAGCTTGATGTGCTATTTTTTTTTTTCCTCGATCTTGATGTGCCATTAAAAGTGCAATTTGGCACGTTCACTCGTAGTTGTAGGTAGTTTACAATATAATGACTTCTTAATTAGACCGTGCCACTGCTACGCCACGTTACCGGAAAAAAATGACATAAAACAAAATGTTTATCTGTGGATCTTGTCTTGAGTACAGAGTACTACATAGATTATTAAAAACTGTAAACTATAGGTGAACCAAAAAAAAAGGTTTTTAGGTAACCTTAGGTGAACGAACAGAAGCCTAACTAAATAAAAAAAATTAAACAACATATAAAGAAAAAAACCAATTGCTTTAACCCTCCATTTAAAAAAAAAAAATTGAACAAGATCTATTACATGCAAAGTAAAATTTAAACATAAAAGTAAAACCATTCATTTTGATTATATAGAAACCTAATTAAAATAAATTATAAAATACATCGAATAAAGATCTTACCAATCAACAACAAAAATACAAAAGGTCACAATTACTTATAAATAATATAAACTTCTGTGGCGGAAAAAAAATATGAAAAAATAAAACAAAAAATAATAATAAACTTCTGTTTTGTCTGTTATATAGGGAATTATAATATCTACGGAGTTTGATGTGATGTCATTTTTTTTTTCTGACAAAGCGACGACTTTGTAGGTCTTCATGCCTTTGTTTTGTGTTTCTGTTGATTCTCCTTTTATATGTATCCTCTCTCTTTTTTCTTTTTTTTTTTTTTTTTTTTTTTTTTTGAAAACAATGTATCCTCTCTCTTTAATTTTTATTATTACATAATGATCGAACAAACCCGTGCTTCAACATAAACACAAAACAAAAGCATGAAGATGAATATCAAAGACGACCAACATAAACCGGTGACGTTTCCTCGAAAAAGCATTGTGAAGGCTACTGTTTTCATCGTCGTTCTATTCATTTCAGCTGCTCTCTTAGACTTTCTTGGCTATCTCGATTTCGTAAGTTTCTTCAATTAAACTTAAATTTCTTAGTTAATCGTCAATATAAATTTTAGTAGTTAACGTTAATCATAATCCTATTGTTTTGTGTTTTGTTAGAATGCTTTTGCAGGTTTAAAGCTAATAACAAAGAGAAAAGAACCAAATCCTTACGGATGCGACTTCGTACAAAACCAATCAAACCAAACTCATTTCTCACAAAACCGTGCCTCGAGATTAAATCCTATCCGTTCAAAACCATCCACGTGTCCTTCTTATTTCCGTTGGATCCATGAAGATCTACGGCCGTGGAAACAAACGGGGATAACTAGAGGGATGATCGAAGAAGCGAGTAGAACGGCGCATTTTAGATTGGTGATCCGTAACGGGAAGGCGTACGTTAAGAGATATAGGAAGTCAATTCAAACAAGAGATGATTTTACTCTGTGGGGAATCGTACAGTTGTTACGGTGGTTCCCTGGGAAATTACCTGATCTGGAGCTTATGTTCGACGCTGATGACCGTCCCGTCGTCCGATCAGCTGACTTTATTGGTCAACAGAAGAAACCACCTCCAGTTTTCCGTTACTGTTCAGATGACGCCAGCTTGGACATTGTCTTCCCTGATTGGTCCTTTTGGGGCTGGTAAGTAGCCCAATTAGATGGTAATGGGCTTGTTGTTATTATTCCTGATTTGTAATATTTGGGCTTTTAATGGGCCAGGGCTGAAGTGAACATAAAGCCATGGGGAGAATCGTTGGAGGCAATAAAAGAAGGGAACAATATGACGCAATGGAAGGAACGCGTGGCGTACGCTTATTGGAGAGGTAATCCTCATGTTGATCCTGGAAGAGGAGATCTTCTCAAGTGTAATGTTTCAGAAAATGAAGAGTGGAATACTCGTCTCTATATTCAGGTTTTTTTTCTCCCAAATTTCACTTTCCAAAAGATTATGATATAGATATTAGTTTTGCCATAGTTTTATCTGAATTTGAATAATATTGGTTTTAAAGGATTGGGATAAAGAATCAAAAGAAGGATACAAGAACTCAAATCTAGAGAACCAGTGCACCCATAGGTAAAAAGAAGTATCACTACTATATAGTATATATACGTATTTGGTACTTTTTAATTTTAATACATAATTCGATGTTTTTTGGAATTAGAACAGATACAAGATATATATAGAAGGATGGGCATGGTCGGTTAGTGAGAAATACATAATGGCATGCGACTCGATGACATTATATGTAAAACCAAGATTCTATGATTTCTACATACGAGGAATGATGCCATTACAACACTATTGGCCAATCAGAGACGATTCCAAGTGTACTTCTCTCAAATTCGCCGTACATTGGGGAAATACCCACGTGGACAAGGTCCATCTAACTACAGATTTCTTACATTGCAAGTTTGATTTGTATCAAGTTAACCCTGATTTTTTGTTGTGTATAGGCTCGTGAGATAGGAGAGCTAGGGAGTAGATTTATAAGAGAGGAAGTGAATATGAAGTATGTGTATGACTACATGTTTCATTTACTCAAAGAGTATGCAACACTCTTGAAATTTAAGCCGGAGATTCCTTTGGATGCGGAGGAGATCACGCCGGATAGTATGGGATGTCCCGCGACGGAACGGTGGAGAGATTTCATGGCAGAGTCGATGGTTCTGTCTCCAAGTGAAGAGTCTCCTTGTGAGATGCTTCCTCCTTATGACCCTCTAGCTTTAAAAGAGGTTCTTGAGAGAAAAGCTAATTTAACACGTCAGGTTGAGTTGTGGGAAAGCAAATACTTTCAAGATCTTACCAACAAACCTTAAATTGTTCTGTTTTTTTCTTCCTCATTGAAGAGATCAACCACAACCAAGTCGTAATCGATTGAAATTACAAGTCAAAGATCGAAATTATAGCTGTGAGTCGTTCAATTTCTAAGATGTTTGTTACTTGCCCAAATTTTTGTTAGTCTGGTTTAGCTTGTATCTAAATTAACCAATAAAAGTGTGCATTCGATTATGATCGATACAACATAAATAAGCAAATACTATTTTTTTTAGTTACAATGGAATAGATCATGAAATTTTAAATAATTTAAATTCTAGTGAATAAAAATTCTGACTACTCTCTAATTTCTGATGACAATATACTGTCATCAGACTCATATCACTCGGTTAGTTTTTGCAATTTAATGTCCACTCATGATTATTTTGTGATGATCTTAATCTATCTATATATTATATATATAGGCACAAATCATAGAGAGACAAGGAAGTGAGGAAGTGAGTGAGTACATGATGAAGAACTTAAAGATGAAGTATGTGTATGATTACATGTTGTATGTGTTACAAGGCTATGTGAAATTGATGAAGTTGGATGTGACAGTGCCGGAAAATGACACGGAGGTTTGTTCAAAGACGATGGCTTGTCCTATTACTGATGGTGGACGGATCAGGCAGTGCATGGATATTCGTTGGTTATGTCTCCGAGCGTCAAGGCGGCTTGTGATTTGCCACCTTAGAAGTTTCTTAAGAAACAAGAAAGTGAGAGAAAGGTTGAGAAGTGGAACAATGAGTATTGGGACTTGAGAGGTCCAAAGTGAGATAATTTCTTCCATAGTGATCAAAGTGTAATTGTAAGTCTGGTTTAATTTGTATGAAAATAAATATAATCCAACTTAGCCAGTCTGCAGGTTAGTAGTCTTTGTATTCAAATTGACAAATATAATAAATGCGTGTCTTTTCTCATATCTAATTTTATATATAAATATAATAATAAGTGTTAAAAACGAACTGAAATCCTACTTGATACATTGAAAATATATCTTTACTAAAAATTTGCAGACATAATATACATGCATGTAGTAAAGAAATGTTGTAAGTAATATAAATTAAGTAGAAATAGATAATATAAAATGGCAATTAAGTTATCTGGTCAAATATCTTTCCTGTATTGCCAATAATTTAAGATATTTATTACTTATTACTCTAAACCCTTTTATAGTAATGTTCATTATATAAAATGACAATAAATAAATAGAATCTCTCTTTCAATTTGGGATTTTTCCTGAGAAATTAAACGAGGTCATCCGAATCGAAACCTGCAACTATGAAGATGAACAACAAAGGTTTTAATCAGAAGCCACGTGCAATTTATCATCTAAATCTGAGTTCCAAGTCTAAATTAGCCACCGTTATCTTCATCATCATCTTCACTCTAATCTTCGGTACTTGGATGGATTTGGTACTAAAACTCTTTCTCATTTTCTAATCATTTTTTTCTAATCAATTCAATTCATACATACAACTAAATTTTGACTGTTCATATAGTTTGTAATAGGTCGAATCCAAATGATGACCACATCAATATTGACAACGACAAACACAATCATCAAGATCCCTTTAAACTGCAACGCAAAACAAACATGCCCTTCAAATTATCCAAGCAGATTCGAACCAGCGATCTCTTCCTCGGAAACTTGTCCTGACTACTTCAGATGGATCCAACAAGACCTAAAAGCATGGGAAGAGACAGGGATCACAAGGGAAACACTAGAGAGAGCAAAACCAAAAGCTCATTTCAGGCTAGTGATTAAGTCAGGGAGATTGTATGTTCATCAGTACGACAAGGCTTATGAGTCAAGAGATGTTCTCACAATCTGGGGGATACTTCAGCTTCTAAGAATGTATCCTGGTCAAGTCCCTGATCTTGAGCTTCTCTTCTTCTGTCATGATAAACCCGCTATTTGGAAACGAGACTTTAGGCAACCACAACCAAATGCCACGTGGCCTCCTCCACCGTTGTTTCAGTACTGTGGTCACCGTGAAGCCTACGGCATCGTTTTCCCTGATTGGAGCTTCTGGGGCTGGTACGTATATAGTAAGTGTTTTATTTATTTATTTATCAAGTATATTTATGTACATAAAGATATTTATTTTTCATTAAATTATGATTTTGGTATTAGTTTTATATGTTTTTGACTACTTTAAAATCTTGATAATATTTTCGGATGGCATTTCGAAAAGAAAAAAAACAAAATCATTAGTAGACCAATAGCAATAGGAATTTGAAATCAGGTTTCTTTCGGATAATGATTTATAAATTAAATGGACAACGTTTTAAATCCTTCTTGGAACCCAATAGACAAAAACAAGGAACCATACTTAGGTTTACCCCTGGGGTGAACATTTAAATTCACCCAACAGATTATAGCCAATCGTTTTGCCATATCATTACTAATACTAGAGAATTAAAAAAAAAACACAATTAAAAAAAAGGAAATCAGAAAATAGATTTAGGGTTTAGGGTTTAGAGTTTAGGGTTTAGGGTTTAGAGTTTAGGGTTTAGGGTTTAAAAAAAAGGAAATCAGAAAATGTATATATAGATATTTAAATTATATAAAAAGTTTGTAATATTAATATTATTTCAACTCTATACAAATTTAATATATATGTATATATATCTTATGGGAACCATTTAAAAGAAATTTTTAAATTGACTTGAATTATATAGCTTTTAAATAAAAGTATTATTAAAAAGAAAAATAACTAAATGATGTTTAATTTCACGGGACGGGTAATATGATGGGACGGGTTTGGGTTGATATTTATAAAAGATAGTATACCACGGGTGAAATCCTAAAATTAACAATCAAAATAATCTATCAAACAAATTACATTTTGATTTTTTTAAGAAAATATAGCCCCGCGGTGTACCGCAGGTTAAAATATAGTTGTAAAAATAGCCATTTGCACCACACACAAAAATAAAAAATATTGTAAATAGCCAAATTGTAGAAGGTATTCATTGTGGATTTACATAAGACAATGTACGTAATTAATTAGCCCTTAGAATATTATCCCCAACTGGCCACTCCCAATCTGATTTGTTGGCAACTAAAGTTTTTATTTAATATCATAATCAAAAGTTATGAAGTTATGATTGGCGTCACGATTAATAACAGATAAGCGCGTTGCGTAATCATAATTATACACGGTCAATGTTTAATTACATTACAATTTCCCCCGAAAAAACATTTGCCTAGTTGCCTTCTCAGACAAGTCTCCACGATCTCATAAGTGCCGAAGAAACTTTCAAAAACCTCTGCTCTGTTTTCCACAGAAAGTAAAAATGATGAGTAATCTGAAACTTGGCGTTGAAGTCATAAGCGCAAGACTCAAACCTAGAGAGGACTATGGCCGTGTTAACGCTTTCGTCGAGCTACGATTTGAGGATCAGAAAGTCATAACTACGACTAAGATCGATGACTCAAGTCCGGTGTGGAACGAGAAGTTCTTCTTCAACATCTCTGATACAGAGGATTTATCAAATCAGTTTCTTGAGGCTTACGTTTACAATAAAACCAGCAGCATAACGAAATCATGTCTAGGTAAGATTCGAATTTTGGGAACTGCGTTTCTGCCGTATTCAGAAGCTGTTGGATTGCCTTACCCTCTTGAGAAAGAGAAATGGAGTATGTTCTCTTCCGCTGCCGCCATTGGAGGCGAGCTCGCTCTAAAAGTGTTCCTCACTGATAACCCCTATCCCAAGGTACCGAATCTAACCCTTACAAAGAAGATTCCTTCTAAATCAAGGCACAAATTTCACAACATCCCCACAAATGAGAAAAGTAAACATAGCCCACAAGGGAATCAGCAACCGTCTCAACCTCAACCGCAATCGCTTCAACCGCAACCGCCTCAACCGCCACCGATTATGGACTCTTCTCTGTTTCAAGCACCGAGGTTTAGTTCTCCGATACCTACAACTATGGGATTTAATCCGAATCCACCGGATTATTCTGTCAAAGAGACGAATCCGATTCTCGGAGGAGGCAAACGAGCAAGATCGAGTGATCATGATCTCGTCGAGCCAATGGAGTTTCTCTTCATCAAAATCGTGAAAGCTAGAAATCTTCCATCCATGGACATAACCGGAAGTCTAGATCCGTACATCGAAGTCAAACTCGGAAACTTTACCGGCAAAACAAAACATTTCGAGAAGAATCAAAACCCGATTTGGAACGAAGTCTTCGCTTTCTCCAAATCCAATCAACAATCAAACGTTCTTGAAGTTATCGTGATGGACAAAGACATGGTCAAAGATGATTTCGTCGGTTTAATCCAGTTTGATCTCAATGAGATTCCGACACGTGTCGCACCAGACAGTCCTTTAGCTCCAGAATGGTACAGAGTCAACAACGAGAAAGGAGGCGAGATTATGTTGGCTGTTTGGTTCGGTACTCAAGCCGACGAAGCGTTCTCAGACGCGACATACTCAGACGCGTTAAACGCTGTTAACAAATCGAGTTTGCGTTCCAAAGTCTATCATTCTCCTAGGCTTTGGTACCTCCGGGTTAATGTCATCGAGGCACAAGACTTAGTTATTGTACCAGACCGGACTCGATTGCCAAATCCATATGTTAAAATCCGGTTGAATAACCAATTGGTTCGAACCAAACCGAGTCAGTCGCTGAATCCAAGATGGAACGAAGAGTTCACGCTCGTCGCGGCTGAACCGTTTGAGGATCTGATAATCTCGATTGAAGACCGAGTCGCGGCTAACCGAGAGGAAACGCTGGGAGAGGTACATATACCGATTGGTACAATTGATAAACGAATTGACGATAACCGGACAGTACCTAACCGTTGGTTTAGTCTTAAAACTGAGAACCAGAGAAGAGTCAGATTCGCGGCGACGAGGCTTCATCTAAACGTTTGTCTAGAAGGAGGTTATCACGTTCTTGATGAATCTACCTATTATAGCAGCGATTTAAGACCGTCGATGAAAGAGTTGTTGAGTCATAAGCAGCCGTCTATTGGTGTTCTTGAATTAGGAATCTTGAGAATGGAAGGTTTGAGTTTGAGCCAAGAAGGTAAGAAAGAGACGGTGGATGCTTACTGTGTGGCTAAGTATGGAACCAAATGGGTCAGGACTCGGACCGTTACGGAGTGTTTAAACCCGCGGTTCAACGAGCAGTACACATGGGAGGTTTATGAGCCAGCAACCGTAATCACAATTGGTGTTTTCGATAACAATCAGATCAATGGTGGTAACGGTAACAAAGGAGATGGGAAAATTGGGAAAATCAGAGTTAGAATCTCGACCCTCGAAGCCGGAAGGATCTACACTAACTCGTATCCGCTTCTTGTTCTTCGACCTTCAGGTTTAAAGAAAATGGGGGAATTGCATTTGGCGATTCGGTTTTCTTGCTCGTCGATGTTTCAGATGCTAATGCAGTACTGGAAACCTCTTCTTCCCAAAATGCATTACGCGAGACCGTTGAAAGTCGTGCATCAGGAGATTCTTAGGCAGCATGCGGTTAACTTAGTGGCAGCTCGGTTAAGTAGAGCCGAGCCGCCACTTAGAAAAGAAGTAGTTGAATACATTTCGGATTCAAATTCGCATTTATGGAGCATGAGGAAGAGCCGTGCGAATCTCTTCAGATTAAGTTCAGTTTTCTCTGGTTTACTCGGAACCGGAGAATGGTTTCAAGACATCTGCAGGTGGAAGAAACCGGTAGCAAGTACAGCTATTCATGTCATCTACCTTGTGTTAGTGTGTTCGCCGGAGATGATTCTTCCGGTGATGTCGCTTTGCTTGTTCATGCTTGGGGTATGGAACTATAGGCTCCGTCCAAGACAACCTCCACACATGGACACAAGACTTTCATTTGCAGACAATATCCACCCGGAAGAGCTTAACGAAGAGTTTGATACCTTCCCTTTTTCGTCTCAAGACCCGGGGATTGTAAAAATGCGGTACGAGCGGTTGAGGAGTATCGCAAGTAGAGCTCAAACTGTTGTGGGAGATATAGCAGGTCAAGGAGAAAGAGTTCAGGCTTTATTAAGCTGGAGAGATCCAAGAGCAACTTCAATCTTCATGGTGCTTTGTTTGGTTTCTACTGTCATTTTGTATGTTGTGCCGTTTAAGGTTTTTGTTCTTCTAGCCGGACTATACATCATGAGACATCCAAGATTCAGGGGAAAGACACCTCCTGGACTTATTAATTTCTTCCGACGACTTCCTGCTAAAACAGATTGTATGCTGTAGAATGCTAAAACGTATAAGAAACAAGCAAATTTTTTTCCCATTTATCAAAGTCAAGAGACCAAATCAACTAATTGAAAGCTCGAAACACGCAGCAATTCCTAAAATTACTAATTGTCTTCTTTCCTAAACATTACCAATAGACTATTTTTTTCAGGGAGGTTAGCTCAAGTTTAATATCTTCTTCTTCTTCTTCTTCTCCTAGATTCAATGCTTATATATACATGAATCATCCACGCATTAGATCAATGTCCATATGGGGGTGATGCATATCCATTGACCTTGAACCAGTTGACCAAATGCCTACAGGAGTCTGAACAAGGTTCTGACTTTGCTGAGGAACAGGAGGTGACGTTGCTGCTGTGTTATCGTTGTTGTCCAAAGCAGCGGTATCTTGGACATCTTCAGAAGTTTCTTCTCGTTTTTTAATCTTTCCTTTCGGAATCGCCCAAATGAAGCTCCCAACGATGACCTTTTAAGGAGGCAAAACACAAAGTTGAGAAAAAGAAATCTAAATTCATGTAAGGAAATTGAATTTAACAAGCGTAGCTCACCTGGACTTGGCTTGCTGCTATTAGAGGACCTCCAATTCCACCACCAATGACACGACCATCGGAGCTAGCAAGTGAGACCGCTAGACTTCCAGTGCGGTTTGGGTAGTCATTGTCAGTTGTGTTCAGATAAGAAGTTGAGAGTGATATGAGCTCGAATAGACCCTACAGATTTTAAAGTATACACCAATATGAGTAACGTTTTTGTGTCTTCTAGAAGATAATAAAATGTGAGAGAAAATTCGATGTAACCTCGTAAGTAATAGTTCCATGAGATGGTGCTGGCTGAAGAAGAGTTGCAGTAGAGACAGCTCCACTTGCGGATAAGACACATATCGCTCGTGGACCTTGATGCGAAAAGGATATAACCTTTGATGCAATGTCCTAAAAGCAACACCAAGAGTGCGATTTTCTCAAGAACTACAAGAAAGATTACAAAGAAAAAAAGAACAGATTGATCAAGAGGAGACATAAGAAACATACTTCACCAATGGAAACTACGATTACGTGCGGGGTGAAGCTCATTCCAGACGATGAAGGCATCATTTCACCTTACAAAAAAAGAATCAAAGTTCTTCAGAAAAATCACAGCTTCTTGTAATCAAGGGGAAACAGATGCGATAACAAAGTTTAAGAGAAAGGCCATGGAATAATAAAAGAATATATATTGAATTCAACAATTAGACATTATAAAATTCAGCAGCTTTAATTAAAGCTTAAAAGAGCCAATAACAGTTGTAATTAGCTATAATAACGTCCCACCAATTTTCAAAGAAACTATATATAATCAATTAAGCTCATAACTTCCCACCATTTTCAGAGCCAATGTCCTTGTCGGAAAACTACATATAATTCAATAAAGCTCACAAGTTTACACCATTTTCAGAGGAAGAGAGATTAGGGCTATTACCAATGGAAGATAGCCGTTGCTTCTTGCCGGAGCCAGGAGGTCTTCCACGGCCACGTTTGTTAGAGTTTGGGGAAACGTTGGAGACAGAAGGAGACAATGCCAACGAAACAGAACCATCTTGTCCATATTTTCTAGGCCGTCCTCTCTTCCGCTTCAGAGACGTGTCACCTGAAGGAGGAACAACCACAGCTCCCGCCGCCGCTGAAGAATCAGCCGGAGAAGACTCAACGGGTAAAGGAGGAGGCACGAATCCAGTAGAGACACCTCCAGGGTTTGACCCAAAAGGAGAGTTGGAATTGGTGAAATGATGAAATCCTTGTGATCCGTGAAACGTAGGTTGAGTTTGAGGAGCAGGAGGAGGACCTGAACCGGGTATTCCTCTTTGGATATAGTAAGAACCCGACCCGGATAACGCCATTGCTTCTCTTCGATCCATAGCTTAGCAAAAAGACTCTGACTTTAACTTAGTAAAAGGATGTGCAATTCGATAAAAGGTTCGAACTTTGTGGCTAATGGCTAACTAATAGGGGAAGGGAGAAATTAAAAAAAAATTCTTCAGAAAGGGATAAGAAGAGAACAAAATCAGAATCTAAAAGGGTTCTCGATAGACTTTAAAAGATATAAACTTAGAGAGTAAGGTAACAACATGCAACCGAAAATCTCTGAAAACTTATCAAAAACACAAACTTTCGTTTCACTAAATGGTTTTTTTTTTTTATGTAGCTTTAGTATCAAGCTATATAAATCTCAAGATCCAGAAGGGAAAAAGGAAAGAGCTTTAATTTTCTTCATCAGTTATTTCTCTCGCTAAAAGTAAAGAAATGAAGTATGAAGAAGCTTTCTCACCCATCAACAATGGTGAAGAAGAAGAAGGAAAGATTTCTAGGGTTCTCTCTTTCTTCAGAGTATGTGATGTTGCTTTTTGCTTTTACTGGGGTGACAGAGGGAAACAGAAACAAACAAAAAAAGATCCAATCAGATCCTTTCTCCAAGAGTTGAAAGCATTTACTGTGGATTACAATACAATGGGATGATGAGGAAGGATTTCAAAATTCGAAATTAAATTTGATGTCTGTCTTTTGACTGTGTAATAGACTTCTTTCTAGCATCTAGCAATTCTTAGGAGGGATCCATCCATCATCATCATCATCTTTGTGTGGCTCATTCTCAACGCTATAGATTAGGTGCGTGTATCAAACGAAGCATTGGGAATGAGAGAGTGAATCTCACGCTTCTGAATTGGAGAGTGAGTGAATAGTGATGTGATCTAGTCAAGACTTCTTTGTTCCTCACTGGCTTCCACTTCATCATATAGAGTCCTTCTTCAAAAAATCGCTAGGCGTTAGTCGGGCGTTCAAGCTGGGTCTAGCGCCTAGCCGGAAAATCGGAGATTAAATTGGGATTAATCGGAATTAGTTTTATTTTATTTTTTACTTATATATTGTATATATATTATTATTGCAGAACAAAAATTAATACTGCAATATGGTCCAGTGGTTATAAGCGTGTTAACGTCATCCCAGGTGCCAAGTTTGAGTAGCCCCGCTCACATTGATGCTTGTTTTGTTCATTTTAGATTTAATTGATGATAAATGACCAAAATACCTTTGTCTTCAACCTCTTAAAAACGAGATCTGTAAACCCTAATTCGGCCGTCACTTAATTTTTCTTCACTTTTTATCATTTTTTTAATTTTCTTCTATTGTTTATTGCTATATATGCTAGATCCATCAAAGAACTATGAATTTCAACCTTCAAAAGAACAAAAAATCAAGTTTTTTGAATAATTCCGATTTTTGAGCCGATTTGACCATAATCCCGGCGGTCCCTTGCCGCCGAGCGACTAGCCGCCGCGAAATCGACCGCCTTGGCCGCGTTTTTGAACAAGGTATAGAGCTATATTGATGATGATAAACAAAAACCTGCCTAAGCTTTCAAAATTTATGAATCCCAATCTTTAGATTCTATTTTACCATAAATACTAGAGACTAACAATTATATATGGGCATTAAGAGAAATTTAACATGAATATAAACTGCCATTTTGTGGATAAATTAAGTAATTATTGTTCTTGTCTAGGCTCTGTCCACTTTAAATCTTCATGTTTTCTAAAAACAATAATTTGGACCCCAAAAATCCATCAACAATACAGAATCTGAACTTTTAGTACATGTCATGTGAAGTGAAGATCAACAATCTATAACCCAGTCTAAACCTTATAATAAGATAATCTCAATAAACTTTTATGGGCCGGATAGGAATAATTAGGCCCAGTATTTAAGGAAAATCATTTAACACATCGAAGTCCAATGTTGTCCTGAAACGACGTCGTTTGGAATAATTAGACCCAGTATTTAACACATCAAAGCCCAACGTTCTTCTAGAACGACGTCGTTTGCCTGCGGAACGTAAACGATCCTGGAACAACCGTTTCAACTACCTTTTTCCTATCACTTCTTTTTCACCTCTCTCTAACTCCGATTTGCTACCTTACGCAGCCTCATGTATTCACCACCATTCCTCTTCATCATCCTCGTCTCTACCAAACCCTAAACCTAAAACCTCTAATTTTCCCGCCAATGTATCAGTCCATGAATCTATCCGTTTCTTCCAATTTCGCTCACCGATCTCTCCTCGAGTCACGATTCCCTATATTCTCCACCGGATTCCGCAAATCCGTCAATCTCAAACCTCCCCGTGTGTCATCCGGTCCCGAATCCGGCGATTCCGGTCACGAAACCCTAACCGAGAAGCTTATCTTGCTCCTCAGAGCTGTTCCAGATTGGGCCGACGAGATTAAAGAGCGTGGGATGCAGCAGAAACGCTCTCTCTACACACACGAGAAATGGGTCGAACATAGAAGCTCTCTTCGCCATGTGCGTCATCTACTCTCGAGCTTTTCTTCACGAGTTATACTCTCTTTGATTCCACCTGTTTTCTTCTTCACAAGCGTCGCGGTTGTGATCGCCAGTTACAATTCCGCCGTGGCTTTGGATTGGCTTCCTGGTATCTTCCCAATTCTTCGATCTTCGTCGTTGCCGTATCAGCTCACGGCTCCGGCTTTGGCTCTTCTTCTGGTGTTTCGTACGGAGGCTTCTTATTCTAGGTATGAAGAAGGAAGGAAAGCTTGGGTTGGGATTATTGCTGGAACTAATGATTTAGCTAGGCAAGTGATTTGTTCCGTTGATAGCTCCGGTGATGAATTGATTATCAAAGATTTGCTTCTTCGTTACATTGCAGCTTTCCCTGTGGCTCTTAAGGTAAAAATCGATTTCTTGCTTGGATCGATTCTTGTGTCTAGTGTTGGTTTCTGTGATTGATTGGAAGTTTGATTTCATTTGCAGTGTCATGTGATTTATGGTTCAGATATTGCAAGAGATCTCCGGAATTTGATAGAAGCAGATGATTTATCTCTGATTCTTCAAGCAAAGCATCGTCCCCGTTGTGTAATCGAGTTCATTTCTCAGAGCATTCAGTTGCTAAAACTAGACGATGCAAAGAGAGATTTGTTGGTAGGATTCTTGAATCCTTAAACTCTCCTTTAAACTTCTTGCTATGAACACTTGACACCAATATATGTTCCTTGCATTATTGCAGGAATCAAAGATGTTGCATTTACATGAAGGCATTGGAGTTTGTGAACAACTCATGGGCATTCCGATTCCTCTCTCTTACACACGCTTAACCTCGAGGTTTTTAGTCTTTTGGCATTTAACTCTCCCAATCATTCTCTGGGATGAATGCCATTGGATTGTTGTTCCTGCTACTTTCATTAGTGCTGCATCCCTGTTCTGCATAGAAGAAGTACTTTGTCCTCCTCCTCCTCAACACTTAACTGTGCCTATTTAGTTGTTTATCCTCTTTTGCTTAAATCCTTAACCATGAAACCTTATTTTTGGATTGAACTCTGCAGGTGGGTGTTCTTATAGAAGAGCCATTTCCTATGTTGGCCTTAGATGAGCTTTGCGATCTTGTGCATAGTAACATCCAAGAAGCTGCTAAATCTGAGAAAGTCATACGTAATCGCATCATTGCAAAGATAAAGCTCCGCGAATTCAAGCACTCATCAAATGGTCGGCATAGATCTTGATTTCCCGTTGGTGTGAGTGATGCAGATTGTCTTCCCGAGGGAGTTAAGAACATGTGATGCCTTAGGTTAGCTTTGATATATACGTATCGTATAGATGAAACACCTTATACCAATAGTTGATAGGTAAACTTTTGCCTTTACGTTTGTATATCTTCCTTTTGTATATGTTTATGTTGTATATATAATATGCAGATTCAACCTTTACATAAGTCATAGTTTGGGTGAAGGAACGCAGGTATACCATATTTGCATGATTTAAAATCCATCTACTATCTCTTGAACCAAATTCTTTGGCCTTGTTGTTGTTGTAATGTGGCTTTGCACCTAAATGAATAATATGGAACTCATTAAAGACACAATTGGCAAAGTCCTCATGAAATGAAGAGTTTAAAAAGCTATAAAACTTAAGCTAAAAAAAGTAAAAACAACCATGGCTCAGAAGTGTATTTGCCACTTAGAAAACATGAACACCCACAAGGAACCACGAAAAAATAAACTAGTTATCATCAAATATGATCAAGGACCGACTTAAGAGCCAATGATCCTTGCCACTTGCCTCAAATCCTCTACATGGTCTAGAAAGATGTAAACTTTACGTTCCTTAAAAGCTTCCATTCCTTGGATTCTAACCCTTGTGAGAGTATTACTCTCGGGATTGTAGTAGGAAAGGTAGAAATGATCGGTTATAATGTCATGCGACAACACAATTTCACCCGTATCACTCGTTCCAACATATATTTCTTTTTTGCAACTATTGTCTTCCAGGGAGGAGGCCTGGAGGCGGAGGCCAAAGATAGATATAACTCGACCATTGGTGTGTTTCGGCATCTTCTAAAACCCATAGTTGCATTTCAGTAGTAGGTTCTCCGGAGTTGCTGTTCCACGTAAGCAAAGCTAATTTACCCTTGTAGTTTACGAGAGTCGATTGAGTAGTATATACATTTCCCGTGCCTTGAGCAAATCTTATACACTTGAATTTCTCAGATCGAAACTCAAAGCAAACTACACCAACCGTGTGTATGCCAAGTAATACAAAACACCATTGACGCATATCCCATCATATGCCGAATGATTAGATGTACGATCCACAACAACAAGTTCATGTGGTATGTTACATGGGATCATTCTCCATGATGGATGAGTTCCAGTTCCTAATGTCAAAACTTCAACCTCATCAGACCTAAAATAGCGTCGGTTACGTGTATGGCTCATGCACAGTACTTTGAATTGTTTGTCGATAGGATCATACCCTAAATAGCTTGTCACTCCCCTCTTCCTCTTTGTATTCAGGTTGGGTAATGCCAAGGTTTCTCCTGTGCTAGGGTTACATATCAATGGCACATTAATTGTCCCTCGCTTTGAAGTGTGTTGCTTTAAACCACATACAGGACGAAAATTTTCATATGGACGATTAATTGGGAAACTCATATGAATTTTGACTGCTAAACGAGAAGCACCTTGAGGATTTGATGATGAGAAGAAGAACGTTTTACGGTCTTTTAGGACGGTGAACAATAGCTTCGGGCGAGACGAATAGATGGTGTAGAAAGATTCGGTGAAATCTTGATTGGTAAGTGTGGAACCACATAGCTTCGATACGCAACGAAATCTAGCTAGACTTAGCAGGCAATCTCATGAATATCTCAATAACAATATCAAACGGGATCGATTCTGAGATTACTTCTTCTTCATCCCTTTTATTCGTTGACAAAGATGGTGAATTGCACCGCCGTACTTTCATGACTTGGCCGATACGCTTCCTGTAAGCCCTAAAGTCTCCTCTTCTTTTTTTCTTTTGCACGTCTGATAGAGTATTTATAGATGCCTCTGAAGATCTGGGGAATCTTTCACATAAAAAATATAATATAAGGGTGTATGTATATAATAATCTCATAGTACGATGGTCTGAATGCGAAATATGAAAGAAAGCTGGTTTCTTTAGAGTTAAGAAGAAGCGACCTCTTCTCTGATACCTTTTCCAGGAAGCTATGTGTGGACTTTTGGAGCTCACTAATTGATCTGTACTGTTTCGATCTGTTTCTTCGATTTCAAAGGTTTTGAGTATCCTCTGTTCTTGATCTGTTCTTGTGCATAGTATTAATAAAATCCAAGAAAATCATAAGCAATTTTAGTTAGCAAAAAAAAAAAGAATATCATAAGCAACCCCGGATCATTTCAAATAAAAAGCTCCATGAATTCAAGCACTCATCAAACGGTCAGCATAGATCTTAATTTCCCGTGGTCGCAATCTGATGCATTTTGTCTTCCTTGAGGGGGTCATTATAAATTCTCTAACTCTATTATAGTGTGTGCTTATTAAACATAGATATCATCACACGCAGGCCTGATCACACAATTCGCAAAGTTTGATTGCTCGTGAAATTCAATAAAAAGGCAAAACCTTAAGCTTAAAACAACTGTCAAGTGTATGAACCACTGATAAAAGATAACACAATCACTAGAACATAAAAGAAATAGTAAACTGACTATGTTACAAGCCATGATCTTGAAAACTTGACACAAGCTTCACATCCTCTAAATGGTCAACAAAGGTGTAAGCTTTATGACTCTTAAAGGTTTCCAATCCTTTGATTTTAACTATAGTGATAGTGTTCCTCTCGGGATTGTAGTAGAGAAGGTAGAAAAAGTTGGATATAGTGTTTGGGGACAACACAATTTCACCTTTACGAGTCGTTCCAACAAAACATAACTTGGTCTCTTCATATACATTCCTCCACGGAGGAGGCAAAACGTAGATATGACTCGACCATTCGTGTTTCTCGGCGTCTTCAAGAACCCATAGTTGAATACCGGTGCATACTCCATTGTTAGACATGTTGGGCTGAAGCTTAGCTAATTTACCCTTGTAGTTTACCAGAGTTGAATCAAGCTGTCCTCTCAAGTACATTTCCATGCCAGGACCAGCAACTTTCTTGATATAATTGAATTTATCAGATCTAAACTCAAAGCATACTACATCAGGATACCTGTGGTCAGAAACACCATGGACAATGGCTAAGTAATACAAAACACCATTGATGCATACCCCATCATATTGAGAAAAGCCATTAGTATGCTCCACAACAGTAGGATAATGTAGTATGTCACATTCGATCATTTTCCTTGACGGTTTCTTCCCGGTTTCTAACGTGAGAACTTGATGCTCTTCAGAATCAGCTCGTCCTACATATGCCCGCGTCATGCACAATACTTTGAACTTTTTGTCGATCGGATCAAACCCCAAAAAGCTTATCACTCCCTTCCTCCTTGTTTTCACTTTGCATAAGGCCAAAGATTCCCCTGTGCTGGGGTTACATATCAATGGAACCGTAACCGTCGTTCCCTTTGTAGTTCGTTGATGTGAACCACATACCCAGCCATGAACAGGACGACAAATATTAGAGGGACAGTTAACTGGGAAACTCATATGAATATTGGCGGATATAGGAGACAGATCTTGAGTATGTGGTGATGAGAAGAAGAACGTTTCACCGTCTTTTAGGCAAGTGAACAATATCTTCGGACGAGACGAAGATAAGGTCAAGAAGGACTCGGTGAAATGTGGACCTCGCAATGTGGACTGCCATAGCTTCGACACGTAACGAAATCTTGCTATAGACTTCGCAGGCAATCTCAAGAGTATCTCGATTACGAGATCGAACGGGATCGGTTCGGATTTCACTACTTCTTCTTTCTTTGGATTCGAACAAGATCGTTTCTTGCGCCGTGTCATCATGGTGGAGGCGGCTTCTCTTAAAACCCTAATGACTCTTCTTTTTTCCTTCCGGCTGATTAAACCTAATAACCAAAACGCTTAAAACGTGTCTCTCAAGATCCCGGGTCTTTCTGGTTAAAATGAAAATATAAAGGCCTACATGTACAGTATTTAATAGTATGAGGGTCTGCATGCAAAATAATTAAAAAAGGAGTTGACGATTCAAAACGATGTCGTTGTGGTTCTTAGAAGAAAGTGATCTTCTCTTCTTCTTCTTCTTCCTTCGCCGGGAAGCTCACAAACGGAGAACTTGGGACGTGCCCTGAAGGTAAGTTCTTATAGATTCCTCGCAATTTCTCATCTAATTTCTTCGATTGTCAAATATACATCTCGTTTTTCTGAGACGATCTAAGATCTGTTTCGATTCTGATTTTTGTTTTTCCTAGAGTTGTAGATCTGATTGTATGTGTAGTGGTTTTGATATAATTTCTGACGGGTTTGATCTGTGCACTGTGAGAGCTAAATAATTGGTTTGCGTTTTTTTGTACATTGGATCTGTACTGTTGGAATTCGATCTGTTTCTTCATCTTTGAATGTTTGATATGTTGTTATGGCAATGCTCTTGTTTATCTTCAAAGATCTTGATTAATACTGCTCTTGATCACAAAGATCACTTATGTGAATTCCTACTATAAGTTAGTTTAGGGATTAAGCCACATCTGAGTCAGTGTTTGTTTCTTTTTTGGCAATGAACAGGGATTTCTAGAATCAATTCACAATGGCGTGTATAGTAGAGGAGACTGAACGTGCAGATCAATCAAATGAGACACAAATTGCGCTTATAAGTGGAGTTCCTGATGATATCTCAAAATCCTGCTTGGCTAGAGTTCCAAGAGAATATCACATGGCAATGAAATGTGTTTCAAGGAGATGGAGAGATTTCGTGTGCGGTGATGAATTTTGGGATTATCGGAACAAGTTTAACTTGGCTGAATCTTGGATTTATGCGTTGTGCCGCGATATATCTGGTGGTGTCTTCTTACACATGCTGAATCCGTTCTCGTCCAAAAGATCATGGAAAAGAATCCATGAATATCCATATATCCCAATGAGAGAAGGCATGGGTTTTGCAGCATTGGGTAAGAGACTTTTTGTGTTGGGTGGATGTGGTTGGTTAGAAGATGCTACTGATGAGGTTTATTGCTATGATGCTGCTATGAACACTTGGTGTGACGTAGTACCTCCTCTTTCAACTAAAAGGTACTTATATTTCTCTTAGGATTCTTAATCTCGCCATTAGCAACCAGCTTGATAATGTTCTTTCCAGCCCTTAATTTTCCTCCGATTGCATATGCAGATGCTACTTTGCTTGTGAAACGCTGGATGGAAAAATTATGGCAATTGGTGGGCTAGGATTGAATCCAAACGCAAAACGAACTTGGGACATCTATGATCCTTTGACCAGAACCTGCAAATCTTGTTCTGATGTAAATATTGTCCCTGAAATAGAAGATTCATTTGTAATGGACGGAAGGATTTATATTCGGGGTGGTGGTGGTGGATCTTCCAGTGCATCTAGCGGGATTTGGGAACGTATGGATGATGATATGGCATCAGGATGGCGAGGTCCAGCAGTTGTTGTGGCAGATGAGCTCTATGTTTTGGATCAAACTTTTGGAGCTACGCTAACAATGTGGTGCAGGGAAACAAGAATGTGGATTCGTATCGGGAAGCTATCTCAATTGGTGATGAAGCAGCCTTGTCGGCTTGTTTCTATTGGAAATAGTATCTTTGTGATTGGTAAGGATTGCTCTACTGTGGTGATTGATGTTGAGAATGTGAGGAAGACGACAATGAATGGAGTAATGGTGTGTTCTTCTATACCAAAGACTTGGGATGATGATATAGAAGTTATTAGCTGTAAATCTGTAGCCATATAATGTCTACCACTCTCTACTTTTCTCTTGGCTCAAAAAGCTGTTTCTGTTGTTCATGTAAAATCACAAGCTTGTCTGAATCACACACAACACTGTCCTCCTGGTTCATAAACAACAATCCCCAATTCCAAATCTCAAAATTGGGTGACAAAAAAGTTATACGAATGAACATACTAATCTCTCAATGTGGTTGGTCTGCAAACAAGAATTGATTACAGTGAAGCTACTTTCTAAATTAGCTGTGTTCCAGGAGGTGGCAAAAAGCTATGAAGTTTTTGTATCTTCCCCTTGAGTTCTTCTAGTTTCTTCAACTCGTTGTTGCTTGATAACGAGGTCTCTAACATCCGATAGACTGGTTCGCTCACACACCTTCCTCTCTCCACTGTTTGCCTCGAGCACTCAAATGCATCATTGGCTCTTCTTCGAGCACACAATGCAGTGGTGAGGAGTTCCAGTGCGTGGCCATGAGGGCAATATCCTTTCTCCAACATATACTTCCAAAGGTCTAATCCTAAATTGACTTCACCGTTCTGACAGAACAGCTTCATCAGCATCACTACCGTTGGTGTTTTTGGAACCAGAGATCTTTCCTTCATTTTCTGGTAATATTCACATACCCCGCTGAATCCAAACTCTTTCGATTTCATCATTCCGATAAACATCGAGTGGAAAGTTACACTGTCAGGCTCAATTTCTTTCTCTTCCATCTCTTTCATCACCTTGATTGCATCACTCACATCTCCACACTTCATTAGACTACTCATCAAAGCATTATAAGCTCCGCAATCAGGTGTTAAACCTCTCTTGGGAATTTCATCGAACAGTTGGCGTGCTTTGATCTTATTCCGAACAACACCAGACCCATGAATCAATGTAGTGAGTATCTGTACTGTGATATAAATATCTTGACGATCCATATCTTCAAAGAGCCTCAAAGCTTCCCCAAAGTTTCGTTTTTTGCAGAACCCATCGATTCTGATACCGTAAGTTACGGAATTAGGTTTGAATCCTCGTTTCACCATTTCATGATAGAACAACTCCGTGGCCGTAATATCACCAGCTTCCTTAAACCCTAACAGTAAAATGTTCATCGTCTTGACATCTGGCTTAAACCTGGAATGCAATTTTTCGAAAATTGATCTCGCCTCCTTCATCTCTCGCTCTGTGCAAAATGCTCGTAGAAGAATATTGAACTCATCGACACCAAATTTCTTTCTGAATATCTCTTTCTCCATCTTCACGAACGCTTCTAAAGTTTCTTCATAAGACCCAAATTTAGCGATTTTGCAGAGAATGATGCTCATAGACTTGAAACTCAACAAATCAGGATAATCTTTTCTTATTTCCGCCATTAAAGCCCAAGCTTGATCGAAATAACGCATCCGTGCGAGAATGTGAAGTGTTTTCTCGAAGGAATCAGAGGTTGGAGAAGAGTTAGAGCTTTTAAGGGAATACTTGAAGAATTCGAGAGCTTTGAGGCCATTGGAATGAGCAGCGAAGAGACTGCCGAGAACTTCTGATACAAATTCCGGTGATAGAGAAGACAAAGGGATGTGCTTGGTGAAAATTGGTTGAATTGGATGATTTGGGAATGGATGATCATTGATGATCCTTGTGATAAGTTCGATCTCTGTTCTGTTTCTCGATGTAGATGATAAAGATGAAGACGAAGAGAGTACCGGAGCAAGTAGACGACGATACGAATCGGAGGAGGTCTTCTTAAGCATTTTTCTCTCAACCAGAAAATAATATTCAGACCGAAAGAATTCGAAACCTTAAAGGAACTACTCGTGCCCATTTCAGTTAACCGAACCGAAATTATGTCGAAAAAATGGAAATCGAACATCGGTTGATTTTGGTTTATTAAAACATCGGTTTATCAAAACTTCGGTTTATTAAAACTTGTTGGACGGCTCCGAATATTAGCTTTTAGCAGAGATAAATCGCGAGCTTACTTGTCAGCATCTGTGGAGAAGAAGTACGTTTGGCGGAGGCGCAAATTTTCTTTTTTGAACTGGTAATTTTCCATTAATCCACACAAAGATCTGTGAGTTCTTGTTCATCTATGCCTTTACTCGCGCTTCTCTAGTTTAAAGTTTGGTTTACTTAGGATATGCACGGAAGGTGTTTGTTGATTTGTCTGTGAGAGTCTACTGATTCCATTTGTGATGAAATTGTGTCACATAGTTTCTGTGGGGAGAGTTTTAGTGGATTTTAAACAATGAAAATCTTCACTTGTTGCTATTCTCTCATTAGGGATTAAGTTTAGTGACCAATTCGAAAAGTTTGGTGAAAGAGGAAGAACATTGCTTTTGTCTTCGAAACTATAACTTCTTAGGTTAACTTGTTGCATTCAACTAGTGATTGGCCAATGTGACTACGATTTAACCCGCTTACCGAAAAACTCGCTTGTGAACTTGTCTTGCTGAGTAATGTAAGCATATTGGACTGTAGGAAGTTAAGTGGTGGTACTCTAGTAGCAATGACAACGGAAACGGCAAAGAAGAAGGGAACTCCACTGATTCTTAAAACAGATAAGGCACAAAAACTTGTAAGATTTTTTCCTTCTTGAAGCACTAAGTCCCTGGATCAAAGCTAATAATTTAGATCTTCCATTTGATCAATGAAATATATTTGTAAGTTGCTTACTTGCGTTCAAATAATTTGGTTTCATCTCACCGCTTTGAGTTTGTGCGTTTTGCAGGCTGAGAAGTGGGTTGCCAATATGACGAGGCCCGCAGAGGATGATCCTATCGAGACTGCACAAGAAGAACGACCACACAGGTGAACACAAATATCTTTTTACATGTTAAATTGCATTACATTTGAGGAACTGAAGCTGAATATAAGTATCGTGGTAACCCCTGCGTAGACTTGGACTTGGTGCTAAAGTGTCACGACAAACAAAGCGTAGACCCTCAGACGACCCTCTCGATCAGAAACTAGAAGCCAAGTTTGCTGCAGGGAAAAGAAAAAATGCAAGATCGGTTGCAGAATCCGCTGGTTCTAGTAAGAACGTTGGTGATGACAGTGAGGGTGATGATGAATCAGAAAGCAAAAGTCAAGCATTCGGCAAGAAAAAGAAAAATACAAGTACGCCTCATTAGATTCTGTGATGTACTATATAGTTTAAGTCATGGCCTTGTATTTGTTTTGATTGTTGGCAAAGAGTTAAAACGCTTAATTGTAGTTCTATTGGAACATCATGGTGCCTCGTAAAAACATCATCTTTGTCTTATTTAAGTTCAAGCCTCAAAGACTTAAAGTTGACAGAGTACAACTACACAAGAAAGTACGACACTTCAACGACTCCAATGAAGACGGTTAAAAGAAATTAAAACGTTGTCGTATTTTAATTTGGTTCAATTTGTCGGTTTGAGCAAACCAATTCAGACAAGAAATTAAATTTCAACTGGCGGTTAAAAACGGGAAGCGGCAAAACGAAATCACAGTACACGTGGAACGTTTACATTGGATTGATCCATATGATTCATTGTGGTCCTGCGCACGGAGGATTACCCTAGCTTAATTTTTTTTCAATCAGATATATGTTTTGTCAAATATGGTAGGGATTATTGTACAAAATGCCAATTTTCACCCCAATTCTTATGAATCTGCCATTTCCATGTTAGATTTATGAATTTGCCATTTTAGAGCTATGGAAAAGACACGTTTACCCTGCTGTGTTTGGTTTACAAACCAGCAACAATATATCGATCAAAAACTTAAGCATAATCATCATATCCACAAAAGAATTATTATATACAAACCAATATATGTACTGAATAACAAATGAATTTGTACAAACAAAAAAGTAAACGAGCAATGATTTAAGTTTAAGATATAGATGTTGAATGAAAAACTAAATTCGAAAGACTATTAAACGGGGACTCAAGTAAATGGATATAACGGACAACTCCGGATAAAACACAAAATTAATAGCAAAAACTATACCCTAAAAGAAAATGGGGGCGAGGGGAACCCAAGCAACCGAATATAACGCTCAATTCATAACGTACACTTAACACTAATGGTGCATCGGTATAAAGCAACTTACGTTCCCTTTCTCGAGCTTGCTCAAACGGAGTCCGTTTGTCAATTTTGAGGAGTTCCTGCCTAGCTTCCAACGATAGTTCACTAACTACACACATCAAGATATCATCACATTACTTAGCTATACAAAGAACAAACAAATAAAATTTTGGAAGAGAAAGTAAAGACGCAAATGAAATACGCATGGGGCTATCTATTCAACAGAGATGTAGAACATAATCTATATATATAATGAGAGAGTTTTATCTCCATCTAGAGTGTCCATATAGGCGACACATCAGCGTACACGTCATCATACATTTTTAATAGGTATAAAATGTTACCAAAAAGATTCGAACCCCTTACCCAATACATTTAATAGGTGCATTTCAAACCAAATTGCCATTTAAATCGTTTTGATTGATAACAAAATTTAAATTATATATATGACTTTATAAAACTTCCACTCAATTTATTTATTAAACGAAGAAACATTAAAAAAAATTCACATACTTTTATATTATCATCTTTTAATAAAAGAAAATATTTTTTTCATAAACAATAACATTGTTTAATATAAATAAAAAGTAATATAATATAACACACAAAAATATGTGAATAGAAGTTAATATACAAATAGATAATTCAAAAATAGAAGTTAATGAATTAATAAAACACAGCACAAAAATATATAAGATAAAAATATGAATAAAAATTAGAAGCATATAGATAATTGTCAAATACATATAATTTATATATGAGAAGTAGAAAACAAAAAAATATGTTATCACGCTAGAAAGACATTAACCTTTTCAAGAGTTATAAAATATTTAGATTAAAAAAAGTTTATATGATAGTAAGCTATAGAATTTAGATTACACGAAATAAGAATATCTATTTTTCAAGAAAAAAGTATGTATCCAAAATCAAGATAAAATATATAAAAATTGTATAATATATTTAAGGAAAGAATTGTGATTTAAAAGTACAATTAGATACAAGATTTCTTTAAACAATAACGTTAGAGTGCAATGTTTCATGAAAAATGCAATGTATGAGAATAGGAAGAATCCAAATATAAAATATATAGTAAGCATTAATACCTGAAGCACAGATAAAACCAGAATTATTCTTCGTTGATAATACTCACGGGTGAAGTTTTCATCTTCGAATTTGGCGCCGTATATACTAATACCTCCAGTACCCTGTGAGACCATATTGGAAAAGACGATTTAGAAAGAAATATCAAATAACAAACAGTCTTATATGTAACTTCTGGAAAAAAAAACTTACATTTCCCTCATTGGATCATGAAATCCTTAATAATACGATGGAAAGAGGAACCCTTGTATCCGTATTTCTTCCATTGGTGAAACCGTATGAACAGTTTTGGAAGAGTAATGTTATCTTTCCGTTTAGTCGAGGAGAATCTTGAGCAAACCAAGTGTCATGTCTTTCAGTCTGACTATGCGCAAAGCAAGAGTTTATATAAAGACCGCCGGTCTGGTCAGAGTTTGAGAATGCGTTTACAGCAAGCACCATTTGGGTCCTGAATTCTATTTGGTGTAAGCAAACAAAAATGACATGGGAACCATCACCATTGTGCATACTCAACATAAATTTAAAGTTAACAAGCTTGAATTTAAAGTTCACGTTGGAAGAATTGATCTGGATCAGCAGTTGGAGGAGCTAAGCTCTGTTGGATCTACAGAAAAAAATCATACACCGTGGAAGGATGAAGGCATGAAGCAATGATCTATATGAAAGACATGATTTTTACCTGCCACGAGTCATATGCTGTGTTGAGAAGAAACATTGGGGTTTTGATGTCTGAAACCAAGTTCTGAGGAAAGAAGCACTGAGGGAAAGAGAAAGGGCACAAATGATAATGTCAAAGATTCTCTCAAGCATTGTCTACTGGAAAATTTGCTAATGAAACAATGATACTAATAAAGTGAAAGAGATATACCGAAGTAGGATCCAAATGGTTTGTACAAGTACTGGAAAAGTCCTTTTGGAGGTTCTGTAAATAAACAAGGAAATGTATTTAAGAGTTAGAGTAAGCTAAAGATCAAGTAAAGTTGTATACACTTTAGTCATTCCCATTTCATCAAATTTTGAATATAAGATTACCTGCACTGTAACAACACCTTGGAACATATTCCTAAGCGAGTGGCCCCCAGAGACATCCACTCTGCAAAATTCCATCAGAACATTTCATGTTTGGATGCTTCTAAAGAAGAAGAAAAATACTATTCCTAACAGAAAAGCCAAGTTCAAGAGATATACGCGTCAAGAAACATTCCAGCGTCACTTAAGCATTTTACTTTCCTGGAACTAGGTAATAGTTCCCTGTACTCATCACAGTGCAAGATGGAAGCTAATCCTCCAGCTGAACATCCAGAAAGCAGAGCCTGTGAAGATTATTCACTTGCAAATGATTAGCTAATACGATAAACAGAACAAGAACCAGAGCACAATATCCAATAACATGATAGACTCAATGAAATGCAAAGACCTGGTTTGCTTGCTTCATGCCTAAAGACAGGAATTCTTCCATAGCCACTTGCCAGATTCGTTGTCCTCGATAGAAAATTTGTGAACTCTAGATACAAATAGAAGACATATTCAGGGTACAACAACACTAAGATGAACTCATTAAATCCTAGGTTTCATAGAACAATATACTCTCGAGTTTTGACCAACCTCGTCCTGACTATCACCAGAGAAAGACGCACCATCACAGTAGCGCAACTTGATCCTGTTCCAATTAAAGAAGTCTGCAAGCCACAAAGAGAAAAAAAGAATCGAAACAAGAAGACGCAATTTCTACAGTTGCTGCATAACCACATGAACAAAACTCATGGTGACAAACCAGGATTCTCTTCAGGTTTATTGCTCAATATTCCAGTGAAGGGCAAAGCTTTTTCCATGAACTTAGAAGAACCACGCGGACTTGTTTTGCGATATACACAGCTCCTATGGTTGTTACACCATCCTCCACCCTAAACGACCCATTGAGTTAAAAACTGATATCTAAGATCCAACTTCCAAGTCATTCCTCAGTAGCAGAAACTTCCATTACATACTTAACTAGCAAAAGTCTAAGACTACACAAGCTGTAAAAGGCATATACCTCAAGGTGGATAGGCCAACTGTTAGCACCTGATCCAAAACCACGATCTAAATGATAACCAGGTAGCGTCCCATCTAAGCACACTGCACCAAATTAGAGTTGAATAAAAACACTAATCATCATGAAACCATTTAAACACAAATCCAGCAAAGAGACTGAGTATTACCAAATCTATTTTCACCAGCCAAAATTCAAAGAAGTTTACGAAATCGAGCAACAGAACAAAATCAAACGCCGTTAATTTCAAATTCCAACTAAGAGAATCAAAAATCGAGACCGAATAGTGGACAACAAAGGTCAATGTGACAGTGGAAACATCTCCTTTCAAGCGTTTTCTCAGATCCCAAAGAAGAAGAACGAAAGAGAAGGAGAGAGAGAGAGAAAGTGTACCAGCTCCTTTAGAGTCAGCTCCCTCAATCAAAGTGAGAGGCACCATTGGAACCGAAGGCGCCATCAATTTCTACTCCAGAAAAGATATCTCAGTCTCAGTATCTCTCGAGTTCCCAAATCCATCGCTAGATCCGCTTTGAACCACCGCCGCGACTGAACATAGCAAGCACACGACCACCGCAATCCACAACAACAAGCTCCTCATCTCCTCCTCCGCCCAAGTCCCGGAGCTCCGGGAAATACAGAAAAGACGAATCGAGCGCGAGAATTTGGATTAAGGATCGATTACTCTTTAGTCTTTATCACTTGCATGAAGACAAAAAAAAAATTGAATTTGAAAAAGAAAAGAGTAAAGGAGACGAAGCTTTTTTCTCGTGTGACGATTTGTAATAATTTATAGTTTTATTCCGTCACGAAATAAAAAATACAGAAAATCTAATTGCATAAAATTCTGTATTTTTGTCCTTTATTAATTCGGATAGATTCATTCATTTGGGAGACACATACATGTACCATTTTTTGAAAATTTTCTTGCAGATTTTGCGTTTATTTTTAGATTTGATGGTGGAGATTAAAATTTCTAGTCCGTTGAACCAAATTATATATTTTGGTTATTATATGGAAAAACATGATACTGTTTGTGTGGTTTTGTTATTGCAGAATGTGTAATAGCTGAAAATATTTTTTTCCCAAATTTTGATTTGAATATATCTATAAAAATACAATTCATACTGATTTGGCATGTTTGAGCTTTTATTAAATTTATTTCATTGACATTTATTAGAGGATATATAATAAAATCCTTCTCTTTAATATAATGGCAACTTGGCAAGTGTATTTATTGATTAAATGTTCCTCCTCTTTTAGTGTAGTATAGATTTCTATCATTCTCAAGGAATTTATAAATAAATAATTACATAAAATATAAATAAATAAAAAATGTTTGCTATATTTATTTGTTTCCTTCCGTCGGTCTGACGTGAAAGTCTCGTATACAGTGGTTAAAGATAATTTCTTTAGTAAAGATAATTTCTTCAGTAAAGATAATTTTACATATTTAATTGTATCAATAATAATTAAATTTTATTATTGTATATCTTTTTCTTCAATAAAATTATTTAATTAGTTTTCTCATACTTTCAGATATTTTTCGCTAATTTTTATAATTTTAACTAAAAATATAATTATATAATAGTATAGTGGATTAGCTAATAGTTTTAGTAGATTGTTCTGTTTTCTATATAATACATCAAATATAGTGAGAAATACTTGGAAACCTCTATCATCAAATTCTTGGACTCAAACCATTAGTGATAGAGTTTTTTGGTGATGGAGTACGTTTTATTTTGGTTGTTTTTGCAAAAGTGGCAACAATGAAATTTTTTTTTTAAAAAAAGAAGAATTATTTTACATTTCTGTTTCAACAAATCAATAAGGCTTATCAAAGTTTGGTCCTATTTGTCTATTTACTGTAACTTGATAACATCGTTGTTCAAACAAAATGATAGCCCAATTATCAATGCTTAATTTTTGTACCTAAATACTATGATCATGGATTTCATAGTGGATACATCAAATATTTTTTGCATTTTGTTTTTTTGTTTTTTTAGTTTAAGGTTTAAGGTTCTATTTGTCTATTTACTGTAACTTGATAAATCGTTGTTCAAACGAAACGACAGCCCGATTATCAATACTTAATTTCCGTACCTAAATACTGTGATCATGGATTTCAAAACGGATACTCCAATCTTCTTTGCATTTTATCTTTTTTTTTTTTGGTTTAAGGTTAACATAAATAAAAAATATTCTGAAAATAATGTTTACTGAGAACAGTTTTCTCTTAAGAATCTATATGTAAAATGCAAAAAAAAATGTAAATTTATAGAGTTTAGTATCAAAATAGGAGTTTTGTCTTCTTACCTATTAACGAAAATTAACCTAAATTTTATATTTAAATACTTATAAATTACGAAATATTAAACAAAAGTCTTCATGTAGTGCATGTACTCATCTAGTCTCAAAATGATACGTGAATTTGATAAAATCAAAATGATAATTTTTTTTTTGCTTTTGATGTAATTTTGTGGTGGGCTCTTGTTGGGCTTTACTTTCTTATTTATGCAAAATCAGTGTGGGCTTTTAGGCCTTGTAACCAATCTTTGTTTTGTTCGATATATTATACTTGTGGGAGAGAAAAACTAGTCCTCGTTTCACCTAAATAGTAATAATGTCTCAGATCTGCCGCCTCAATCTTCTTGGTCGGCGTTTCTTCGCCGCCATGCCAAGCAGACCGAAGGAGATAATGTCAAACCCAGATTGCCGTCCCGCGCAGCTATGCTTGAGAGTCACGTACTTGATCAGATTCGTTGGTGATCTCGACACGGCGGCGAAGTACGCTCGTTTGGCTGTTTTCAGCAGCATCAAATCGGAGGCCACAGCAGCAACATGTCAAGCCATCATCGGAGGCATGTTGCAGAATAAAAGGCACGATGACGCTTACGATCTCTACGATTTCTTCTTCAATCACTTTAAGCTCAGACCCAACAGCCATTGCTGTAACTACATCATCGAATCTCGTTTCAAACAAGGTTTAGTTGACGAAGCTCTCGGTTTCCACCACCGATCCATCGAATCTGGTATGGTCCACGACTACCCAAGCCAGGATACTTTCAGGGTCTTGACTAAATGGTTAGTCCACGCCGGTCGAATGGACCAAGCGGAAGCCTTGCTTAGAGACAGGACAGTCGGTAGGACCACCTACCCAGATCACGTGGCGTACAAGAATCTGATTCGCGGGTTTTTGGATCTTGGGGATTTAGACAAGGCGGATCTAGTCTTGGCCGAATTCAAACGTTTGTTTTCTATTGCCCTATCCGAGACCAAAGATGATTCAAACTATGAAAACAGAGTCGCATTTCTGATGGCCACGTTCATGGAGTACTGGTTTAAGCAAGGTAAAGAGGTGGAAGCTATGGAGTGTTACAACCTTTGTGTTATAGCAAACAAGTTACCGGTTTGCACAGAAACTGGCAACGCCCTTTTGAATGTCCTGCTCAAATACGGTGAGAAAAAACATGCTTGGGCTTTGTACCATGAACTCTTAGATAAAGGTAGAACAGACCCTGATACCATTAAGATAATGATAGACGAGTGTTTTGATATGGGTCGATTTAGCGAGGCTTGGGAGACCTACACCAAGGCTAGTGCCAAGAACCACTTCCTCAGTGACAGATACAATATTACAAAGTGTTGCCGACACGGATCACAGTCTTTCTTCTTTGCTGTGTTTAGTGCTAATCACCTTATTACAAGGTTTTGCCAAAACGGGATGTTATCAGAAGCACAGTTAGTCTTTTACGATTCACTTGAAGATGATTTAGGCTACATTGATGTTAACATTTTTAAAACACTGATTGATGCTTTTGTCAAGGATGGGTTCCCCGATGATGCTATCAAAATCTCCAACAAGATGATCGATTCAACTCTAAAGGAGGTCTCCCATCTCTTTTAACCAATTCTTCCTCACTTCGTGATCTTTATTTGATGTAGTGTTTTAAACACTGGTCTTTTTTTCGTATGCTCTTCTAGTTCAGATAATAATAACTACATCATAAATATTCATAATACAATTTAATTTTAATTTTTAAATATTTATTTAAAATTGGATTATTATCTATTTTATAGTATAATTTTAATCATTTTATACATAATACAAATCTTTATTTGTTATGTAGGGGTTGGCGTCCGTTTTTTTTATTTGTTACATAATACAAATCTATACATAATACTAATGATAGGCCAGATTATAAAAAAACAAAAAATGTTTTATCTGGTTTTCAATTTACGTCACATTAATACTTATTTTATTTTTAAGTTACTATATTTCATAATCTTTGAATTTAAACATTTTAATTCTAACTTTTACCCACAAGAAATTTCCTACAGTTCACATTATTGACAAACAATACATTGTATTAATGACATGAAAATAGTTTATTCTTATGCTAAATTATTTACAAACTAAATTGATAACTCATTAAAAAAATACAAAAAAAAAATTATGTTTTTAATTGTTATAAACTAGATTATAACCCGCGGTACATCGCGGGACTATAATTTTTTTTTTTAAATAAAAATTTAATTTGTTTAGTAGATTAAAAAGACTGAACAAGAAGTTCGACCACACAGGTGGAGGCTTGGACTTCATTTGCATTTCATTTTTCGAATTTGAAACTGAACATAAGTATCTCATTGTAATCCCTGCATAGGCTTGGACTTGGTGCTAAAGTGTCACGACTCACAACAAACATAGTGTAGACCCTCAGATGACCCTCTCGATCAGAAAATACAAGCCAAGCTTGATGCAGGGAGAAGAAAATATGCAAGATCGGTTGCAGAATCCGCTGGTTCTAGTATGAACGCCGGTGATGACAGTGAGGATGATGATGAATCAGAAAGCAAAAGCCAAGCATTCGGCAAGAAAAAGAAAAATACAAGTACGCCTCATTAGAGTCTGTGATGTATTTGTTGGCAAAGAGCTAAAACGCATAATTGTAGTTCTATTGGAACATGGTGCTTGGTAAATGCATCATCTTTGTCTTATTTAAGTTCAAACCTCCTGTTATTACACTCTATAGTTATAACTCATGCAAAACTCTCTTGGCTGAGTAAACTACAGACGCCACTGGAAAGCAAAAACAGAGTATGGGAGTGAAAGAAACAAGGTAAGAGATTCTGAAGTCTTTGTTTATGTTATAAAAAGCTGTGGTTGTGCCACTGCACAAGAAGGTCAAGAGATTTGACCATGGCAGTGGCAATGAAACTGTACAGGATAGACAAAAGGTTAAAACAAAGAGCCTCATCACAGGTTGTCGCTGTTTTGGTCCTGCATCAGTTCAGCTTGAACCATGTCTCTGAAGCTTCTGATGATCTCTTCTACTAACTCATCAAGGATCATTTCACTTGTATAAGAACCAAGGCAACCGACTTCAAACCGGAGATCCATCCAGCTTCCAGTTCTAGCCATGTCTTTTTTCACTATCTGATCTAAAGTGTGAGGGGAGGGCAAAGGTAGGAGATGCCAGTAAACTCCTTCTTGTGCCACTTTAGCTGCGATTTCCATGTCTGAGATTAGCTGGACCTCAGGTTTCACGAATGAGATCCAAGGCCCGGGATTGAATTCATTCCAACAGAAGTCCATAAGAACTTCATTGATACAGTCGTAAAGGAGATTCTTATCGTCGCAGAGCTGTGTAGAAGAAAAAACTATGTCATCTGTTAGTTCTAGCTCAAGAAGCTGTTCCGAGTAAAATGGCCTAGTTAAAAGCTCTTCCCAGCTTAAGCATGCAGATTTCACAACTGCTTCAATGTATGCAAGTGTCAATTCCTTGTCATCTATGCTTGCTTCGACATTGTTGTCTTTCTCTGGTTTTGGAGAACCAACTTCATCGAATCTTATACAGAGTGGTTGCATCCGCATTTCAGCTAAATGTGAATCAAGAAACAGTAGTAAGAAACCAAGTTCTGATAATTCAATCTTGAGCTGATTTTTAAAGTTCTTACATACCTGAACTGAAACTTGTGCTTGTTGTTGGGCTACTTTCATCATCTGTGAACAAAGTCTCGAGCACAGACACTGGGCTTAACTTTCCCTGCGCATCAGTGGCAGTTTCTTTGTATTCAGTCAACCTCACTGAAGAAGTTGGTGGAGATTCTGGAGGAGAAGACGGTGAATGCGCTTGGTTGAACATTTCCTAGAACAAGATAAACCATGAAATACGAAATGTCATTCAAGAAAAGCAGAGAATGTATTCACTTATCACATACACAAGCTGTCTAACCTTTTTCACATCTTCTTCACAAAATTCGAGCACATCTTCATCAGCATTTTCGACTTGTCCGGAAACGGAAGAGCTATAAGTTTCAGATAAAGGATCTATCTCACTCTTCTCTTCCTTGTCTATATTCTCAGTTTCATTCTCTGAAAGCATTTAGTAACATTTTGTCAAGAACATTATTAAGATCTGTTGAGCATAGAGAGAAACATACCAAAAAGAGAAGAAGAGAAAAAATCACCTCTAGGAACAGAGACATCAATGGTAAACAATGTATTGTCGTCTTTATCCGAATCTTCATCAGTCAGATCATTTGTAGCTGAACTGCATTGCAGAATCTCTGGTTTCTCAGTTGGCTGGCTTAGAGGGCTAAGATTACAAACCAAATCATGTGCCGGGATCAATATAGGACTGTCTGCTGGTGAACAGAACTCAGGGAGAGAAAGAATCTTCCCCAGGATTCTTGGCACTTCCTTGTCTGGTAAATTCACATCTATATCTCCATTTGCAAGCATTTCAGACAAGTGTTTCTTGGCTGCAATGTATAAGCCAGACATAATCTTCTTTGAATCTTCGCTTGAGTAGATAGTCTCCTCTTTATCATCCTGGGTCGTTCTTTCGTTACAGACCGGTTCTTCTTTATCCGAAACATGCTTCTCTGATTTACTCTGTATCTCTTCTTGCACACAACAGTTTTGGCTCATCTTATCAGCAGGAACATCACATGACTTCTTTCTAACAGCAGATTGTAGTCTTCCCTTGATTAAACCGATAAGAAAGCGAGAAATTTTTTTCCCGGTTTTCGACTTGTTGCCAGTAGAATATGTTCCAGATGAAGAATCAACATCCAAACTATTTGGACCAGGTTTCAAAACCACAATAGTTTTTGCAACTTGAGATCTGTTTCTCCTCTCATCTGATTTCCATTTCCTGCTGAAAAAGTTAACTTTCCTCTTCGGTATTACCACCGCCTCTTGCTTTGATACTACTCCACGCTTGTTGTCTTCTTCAACTCTCTTAGAATCTCCCAAGGTTTGATCATCTTCATGTGAAATCTTCTTCTTGAGGAATGATTCTTCTTCAGAACCCAAAACATGAAAAGCCTCCAATAAGTCCTTACAGGTTTGAATCTCTCCTTCTTTCTGAGCTATCAAACGTTTGATAATCTCTTTGAATTTCTCGTCAGACTCATCAACTAGACTCTTACAAACCTCAGTCTCTACATGTTCATCACCAGCAACCGAAACATCGATATCCTCATCAACACTCTCATGAGAGCTCTCGCAAGAACATGTAATCTGCTTCATCTCATTACCTGCATAAATGAGTAAATATGATCAGAAGACTGATTTATTTATCTTATAACAAGAAAGAATCTTTTAAGACACAACAAAAACCTGAAAGTCTTTTGCTTCCACGTTTGTTATCCATCAAGAGACGTTTCTGGTTAGATCCAAAGAGACTTATGAACACCCACACACATCCTATACCATCGAATCCTTCTCTTTTAAGATTTCTCCGACAAATTTTCTCCATTTAACAGTTCACACTTAAATAGACAAGTGGTAGTAAGGAAACTGTTAATACAAGCAAAGAACATATTAAACTTATGTCTGAATATATAAAAAAAAAAAAAGAAACGAATTTTAACTTTTTATATTGATTCATCATGCAAGTGATCTGTTAAAACTCTGTTTTCATGATTTTTTATCATCAGTCACTCAAACGCATTGTGATTATTACTGTTCATAATTCGATACCTTTCCTTTAGAAGCAAGTGAACTTTTTTTTTTTTTTTGATCATTGTGAGGAAGAAGAGAAGGGAAAGAAAGAAGCATAAAGATAAAAGATAATACCTTTTAGAATCTGATCCGATACTTGGGAAAATCTGATAATGCAGCTGGAGACTGATTAATTAGAAACTTTCGTTTCAACTTTTTAGCTGTTTTCCACGGCGAAAAAAAAAAAGAAGCTTTCACCGGATTTTCCCGGAAAACCTTCGCTGAATTTGCGGCTTTAATATTTTATAAATGAAATAACGAAGAAACGAAGCTCGAAACACGAGGTCAGATGTTGAACACAGTAGTGTCTCAATTTAGATGAAGAAGTCCCATATTTCTCTCACCAGAATATGAAACCACTGTGAAGATTAAAATTATAAAAAAAAAAAAGAGTGAGAGAAAATAATATAGATTTTATTAAATGGAGAATTAGGCATAAAGTCACGCGAGTTGAATAAATTACTAGAAAAAGGACCAAACCTAGATTATGAGAAAATGTGGAGATTGGATCAAGTTTCATCATTTATACACATCTACGAAGCTAATAAATATAAAGAGTAAAGATTTTTTTTTTTTGTTTGGGGTTAATATTGACGTGGTTCACTTGAAAGTGCAGCAGCCATTGGAAACCTCGCCCATATCTCTATATACATACGTACTCATCGTTGTCGTTGTATATACATGTGTATTAGTGTCTTCACGAGACTGTAATGAATGTGTATATATATGTATTTATACGTATATGGACAGAGAAGGTTTGGTGATGCAGGTAGGTAGGTAATGGTCCTCTAGAAGGGAGTCGTCGCAGCGAGTACCGTACATAACTAATGTGTCGGGAGGGGTATTATGGTCATTATATTAACAGAAATTGCAAAAGTCAAAAGAGTTGTATATCAAAGAAATTTGAAATAAAAAGGAGAGAGAAATTAGAATAAATGAAGAAAAGGTCAAAAATGACATGCATTGGAGCTCTCTTCCACTATGGACAATTTTTTCTTTGTTAATTATGACACATTTATCAAATTTAGGGGATGTCGTATATATATATATACACGAACACGACATTTAGATTCTCAGCATAACATTTAAAAAAGTTATGTGTCTAATCTCCACATTTTCTCATAATCTAGGTTTGAAATTAATTATGCTGAAGCATGAAGTTGATGGTTTAATGGCTAATTCTCCTATCTCACCAAACCTAGTTTGTTACTTGTTAGTTTGTCTGGATATTAATTATCTCACGGAAAATAAAACGTATGGTTTATAAATCATTAAACTTTAATAAACTTAGTGATTTGTAACAGTGTCATCCTTAAATTCAAATTTAGTAAATTTTATATTGTTGAAAAGTATTACTAGACTTTTTAGGATGTATTAAAAAGTGAACGATAAATTAGGTATATGCGAGATCACAAATAAAAATGAAATTAATTTCAAAAAGAAAAAAGAGAGAATTGGAATTAGGTATATTGTCAAAGACTATTTTATGTTTTGTTATAGAATGCGACTAAATAGGGATGTGAAAAAAAGCGTCCGTTACGATGTTACCATCCATCGATAAGACCAATAGCTCTGTTTGACTAGTGGCGATTCACGTTTTTTTTTTTTTTTTGAAATTAATTTCATTTACTGTCAGAGATGAACAACAGAATTTCATTCCGATAACTAAGTGGTTACATGTTGTAGTGTTAGTTATCATTTAAAAAAAATTAGAGTTATCATTTTGTTATTTTCCATTCCTTTGACGTAATATCATTTTGTTATAATGTTTGTAGTTCATCTTCTGTCGTTACATAAACGTTTGTAGTTCTTCTGCTACATATAAACGTTTTCACAGTCATACTAAACTAATATATAAAAAAGAAATGATAATGACAATAATAATATTTCTTAGAGTCATACACTCATACTAAAATATCTTAATTTTTAAGAGTTTCGTTCATGCATGGCTTTTTTTCCTCAGTCTCGTTCATGTTTATGTTCCCAAATTCAGATACAAAAAAAAAAAAAAAAAAACACTTGATCATATCCTTAATTTTTTATTTACTGCCACGAGGTTTGCCTACCCTCTAATTTTTATAATACCACACAAATTTAGATCGGACTCTAATTAAGATAACCAATAGAATAGCACTTACCAAACTTTATTTATGATATGACTCTAAGATATACTATAATTAGCATAATGCAATATACAACGATGTTCAACTTTGTTTAGCCCACTAGCTAATCACCTACTCATTAATTTTTGTTTTTTTCTATGTTTATTTAAATGTATGCAGATATATGTATATAGTTTTGTTTTGTACTTATATGCACTAGTAGTTATAATGTCCATTTACATAATGTAATAATCAATTGAAATTAATTAATATATGCCGACAGTTTTATACACTAAACACAAACCCTGAAACTTCTATAATATAATGAACGTCTCCATTTTTGAAATTGAGTTACGAAGGTTTATTTTGTATTAGTTAGGATTAAGAAATACTCCCTCTGTTTCTGAAAATTTGATGTTTTAGAGTTTACACATATATTAAGAAACAATCATGATTTAATCATTTAATAATTTTTTCTTTTTATTAAATATTTTTAATAATGTATGAACCAATAGTAATCTAAAACAGTTAATTATTTGTAATCATTATGCCTTTAAATCTACGATTTGTTAATATTAATTAATGGAAAATAAAATAAAAAGTTAGAAAATCAATCTTTGTGGAACAAACCTAAAACACTAGAACATCAAACTTTCAGGAACGGAGGAAGTATGCGTTAAGATACTTGAGGATAATGAACGACGACGTTTTGTCTTTACATCTGTACCCAACTTATTTAGAAAACAAAGAAACACTACAAAGCTGTGTAAGTGGATACCAATCATTTTATTTTTCATAGGATTCTCCTCCAAACCCATAACCTTTTCAATTTGTCTTTTTTACACAACTTTTAAATTTGTCTTAAAGGTGCATTATAAGGATAAATTAAAGGTTTCATTTTCTTTTTATATAGAGCAAAATATGTCTAGTTCAAAAAGGGAGAGTAAAATGTGTCTTTTAATCTTTCTGTACATTTTTGTAGATTGATATATACATAAACGAAATTATCCATAGGTTTATTATATCAAGTACATAAAAGAAAATTCATTGTTTTCATTTAGTTTACATAAATGAAATTTATTGTTTGGTGGCTTTAAATCAAATAAAATCATCACAAGATTTTTTTGCATTGCACGAAAAGTTATCTAGTGCGACATACAAAAGCTAATTATATTTGCGTTCTTGAACTTTTGTGCATTATATATGTTTATAAGAATGAAGCTCATCTATTTTTTTTTTTTTTTTGGTCATTATATCCAAATGGTCTTATTCGAAAGAAATCTTAAAAATTTTGATATCTTAAATAAGTTTATATGTGTTGATTAAATAAGTTTACATTTACTAAAAAAAAAAAAAAAATTATATTATAATTTCCAAAGTCGTCATATTTTGACTAAAGTTTCGATAAATAATAAGCATTTTCTATGTCATTACTAAATTGAGATGCATCAGCATGCAATGATTCAACCGATGTGGCAACGTAAGATTCTGGAAATGTAAAAAATGCGTGAATATTAGTCTGTTGAAACTAAAACATCACTAGTGGGCGGTTTCATATTATTAGCAGTATTAATTAACAGTTTATACAAATTTTGTATTTTAATGCTTTATTCGGTCCACGAAAATTGGCTGTTTGCGAAGTAAACACACCAATAAATTAACGCAATCTCGTTATATATCAGATAATGTGATTGATCAATAGGTACTTAACAACCAACTCACCCCAATTTGGATATTGATTAATTAGTTGTACATAATTATTTCAAATGAATATAGCTCTATATTATATTCACTGTTGTACATTACAAGCTTAAAAGATTATGGAAAAACTGTATATTGATTGGGTTAGGTTCGTGCGATGTATGTCTCTTGCTAAAAGAAGTATTAAGCGTTGTATATCATATCGATATATCCACAAAACATTATTAATATCATGATTAAAGAAAATATCATATCGATTAATATCCAATAAACATTAAAATATATGTGTCTCTGTGTCTAGAATGATTAGGAATTTATGATATTTTAAACCCATAAAACAAGACAAAACCTAAGAAATGGACGAAGAGAGTCATCATAGTCTCACCAACTATATATGATCCAACCATATTAGTTTTAAACTTTAAATTAACTTCAACCTAAATCTATTTACTGGGTAACAAAAAACAAGTTTTTGTCTATCCTATACGGCCCATCTATTATTATGGGCCGAAAATAGACTAAATACTATATGCTGGCCCATTGACCATATTAGTATCCCAAAGAGTTAAAATCACAAAATTAAGTGACTGAAATTAAGAACTCAAGAGTAAAGAGGCTAAACATAAAATAAAAAGCGAAGGACTAACTTTAAATCTCAAAGTCACAGGACAAAAATTTAAAAACGCAAAGTTCAGGAACTAAAGCTAAAATTGCAAAATTTAGGGACTAAAACTAAAGTTATAAGTGTATCTTTTGATGTTATTTAACTGACTACTTTAACATGTAACTTGTAATTGTGAATTCTTGTATAAATTTTTCTGTTGATTGTATCTTAATTTGATAGATATGTCATGTACCATGGTTGTGTAATTTAATCAACTTTGAAATGGTGATCTCAGTGATAATGTCTTTGCTTGAATAATTTATATGTATTAGAGTGTAAATAATTGAAACTATCATTTTCACATGAAACTAAAATAACAATTTATGTCGATTAACTAAACTTGTGGACGTTGGCTTTGTTTGCTCAATGAACATGAATTAAACTCTTCAAGCTTAAAACTAAATTATCACGCGGGAAAGGAGACGAGGTCGTTAGAAAAAACGGTTGACTGTTAGGGACATAACCGGGAAACCACTCTAAAATTCGAGTATTTGACGACATCAAACCTGAAGAATGTCTGAAATTTATCTTTAATTACATCTGAGATTTCGATCTCAATTTCGAAATGTTGACATTTCTCTTGACAATGACAGAGACCATCACTATGAGATTCTTTGAACGGCTCTCAATATTGAAAGTCAGAGGCTTATCCATTATTCTTAATTTCTACATTATCTGATTATGCTTCTGCGGTAAGGCTTATAAGGAACACGGTTTCTTGATTGGATACGTGTTTGTCTTATAATTGAAACCTTTTCCTCTTTTCCCCTATATATACCTATAGCTTGGCTCATCAAATACTCTGTTAGATCAAATCGTTATCGCTCGTTTCTGCAAAAGTTCTCTGTTCTTTATTATATGGACCGGAGTCACGATGACATTAAAGATTCCGATCCAAGAAGTGGTGAAAATGGTTGGCTCTTTAAGATATCGCGAATCAATGGAAACTAGCAAAATAAAGACGCTGATGGATGAGAAGATCTATGTAGCAGTGACAGGGAAAGATCTAGAGAGCAAGTCTAGTCTTGTTTGGGCGATACATAACAGTGGAGGCAAAGAGTTTTGCATCGTCCATGTTCATCAACCTATCCAGATCTCAGTCCGTAAGTAATTTAATATCCTTAACAATCTTTTTATGCAGAGGTTATGGATATTTAGTTAACTTCGGACTTTCTTGTTTTCTTGATCTCAAGAGGGGACGACGTTTCACGAGCAGAAATTGCGGCTTTATAGAAAAGAGAAGGAGAAAGCACATAAGAATTTGGATAAGTACCTTCATATATGCAGGCAAATGCAGGTATGTATGCTTACTTCTTATCCATGTGTTTTGATGGTAGAAAGAGATGTTTGGTTTTAAGTTTCCTAGTCAAATTGTGAATTAGGTCAATGCAGAGATCATTTCTATCGAAATGGATTCGGTAGAGGAAGGTATCCTCCAATTGATATCTCAGCGCGGAGTCACTAAACTCGTCATGGGAGCAGCAGCTGATAGACACTATTCAATGTAGGTGTGGCTAATTAGTGTAGACTGTTTGTTATCTGAAATATGAATTAAAAATGAGGTAAAACGTTGATTTTGCAGGAGAATGAAAGACTTACAGTCCAAGAAAGCTATTTACATTCACAGAGAAGCGCCTGCTATTTGTCATATATGGTTTACGTGCAAAGGATACCTAATTTGTTCAAGGTTTGGTTAATTAAGTCAATACTCCATCTTTTATGTTAGCTGAAAATATATTAGTCACTGTTTAGATTGGTTCTTGAGTTTTACTTGTCTCACAAGTCACACTACGATGCAGGGAAGCTAGAAGCACAGATAACTCTTATCTAGAATATTCATCGTCAAATACTTTGAGTCAATCCAAAATAACTAGAGAAACTGAAAGTGTTCCAAGCTCGAGTATAGTTAAAGATGATGCTGAGACTTCGAAAAGGAAAGCACGCTTTGAGGCATCTAAGCGTGAAGAAGCTGAAAAATCTGCAGTTGATGCACTCAAAAAGGTATATTAACATGTTTTTTTGCTTAGAGGTGTAAAACTTTTCTAATTCTATCTATAACCAAAAATGTAGGCTAAACAATGGGAAGCTGTGTATTTCGAGGAGTTGAAGCGTAGGAAGAGACAGAGAAGGCACTGAGGAAAACGAATGAAGAACTTGAAAAGATGAGATCAGAAGCCGAGTCCCAAATAACAGAATCTTATACGGTGATAAGAAAGCTTCAAGAAAAGAACAACTTATCAATGGAAACGTTGAGAAGACTCAGAGAAGAACAAGAAGAGTTGAAGATAAAGCTTAGAGAAGTATCAAAGCTGAAGGGTAAGCGCGAGGAAGAGGAAGTGTCTCCCTCTAACCACCGTGAACCGCCTCAGTACTTCATTTGTCCCATTACACAGGTAAAGAAACGTTACAACATCAATGGAAACTACATTATCAAAATGTTATAATCATAAGAGAGAAAAAAAAAACCCAACAATTAGGTTATTTGTAGGATATAATGGAGGATCCTCATGTAGCAACAGATGGTTTTACATATGAAAGAGAAGCTATAAGTGGGTGGTTTGCGAGAGGACACGATACTTCTCCAATGATAAACAAAAGGCTTCCTCACACGAGCTTGGTTCCAAACCTTGCTCTTCGATCCGCAATTCAAGAATGGCTTCAAGTTCCAGAATCATTGAACAAATCCTCTGCTTGTAAATCAGAACATTTTTAAATTGTGTCAGTTCAAAATTCTCTGATGTTATTTATATCCATGCACGCAGTTAATAGTTGTTACCCTATTACTAGTATTATTGGTATGGTCACTCTTTTGTGGGGTGGTTACGCATCTATATACTAAATATAGATATGACTTAGATTTTAATATTGTTATCAATTGTTAACTATAAGAAGTTTTCTATTAGATGACTGAATCATGCATAGATTTAATTAATATTCCCTCATGTCGACGTTTAATAAAACGGAGATATGATTATGACTATATAGTATTTGTTTAAATTGGTTGATGCCTTGATGGTCATGATAACAAGCATAAAAAAAACACTAAAGCTAGTATTGAATTAATTCACGTTTTTGTAATTTTGATATTTGATTGAATAATAATAATAAATGAATTCTTGTAAGAGAATATTTGTGTCAATAATGTAAATCGTAGAAAGCAAAAAAAAAAAAAAAAACAAGCAATGGAGTCAACAGCCACCGTTGCAATTGATCGTCTTACTCAACTAAAATCATTCGAGGAGATGATGACATGCGTGAAATGCCTTGTATGATTGGTGCATATAAGCGAGAAGCGGTATTTTTTACAGACTGTTCAAATTTAATAAAGCTAGTGTCTTTCTCAACTGAGTGATTAACTTTTTCTATATAGCTAGAAAAGATACATAGCGAAAAAAGAAGAGTTTTCATCATTTTCTTGAACTTTCGTCTCAGATCAAGCTAATATTAATGCCGATAATTTAGTACATAAAGTATTTAGTTATTTACAAACCGCTATTCAGTTTATATGTAAACAATGTTTTTCAAAATTGGCTTATCTGAGACTTGTAGTTGTTGAAAAAGAAAAAAAGAAAAAAAAAACGTTTCATTCGTTTCTTGTTCTGTTTGATTTTATACCAGTCGCGTGGGCTTTTCTTTTTTAAACGAAGAGATACAAATGGACCTTTGAAAATGCGTAGCTATGGGTTTTAAAAAGAAAAGCCCATATATAAATGACCTTATGTTAAAAGAAATATATTTTAGAAGTGACCTTTACCATGTCGATAGTCGATTTATAAATGCACCTGCAAAACTGAACCCTAAGTAGTCATGTCCCTCCTCCGCCGCATTGTCCGAAATTCGACGGTATCAAAGGCTGTCCTGGTTGCGAAGGCGTTCAAGCCTTACCCACTCGGAAGAGATCCTTCCTCACTCCCAAAGCTTGATACGGTCTCCATCAGGGATATCGATGACCGCCCAATTTCTCTGCGCTACAGAGTCACGGCGATGATCGAGATGTCTATTCTCGACGAAGCCTCGAAGCTCTCGCGCCTCGCTGTCTTGGACAAATTTCGAGTCGACGGAGACACCGTATTCATCTGCAATTCCGTAATCGGCGCCATGTGCAGCGCCAAACGGTACGACGATGCCATCTCTCTGTTCAATTACTTTTTCAACGAGTCTCAAACTCTCCCAAACGTGCTCTCCTGCAATCTCATCATGAAAGCACACTGCGACCAAGGTCACGTCGACGACGCTCTTGAGCTCTACCGCCACATTTTGCTCGACGGACGTTTAGTTCCAGGGATCGAGACATACATGATACTCACCAAAGCCTTGGTTGACGCCAAAAGATTCGATGAAGCTTGTGATTTAGCGGGATCCATGAGCTCTTGTAGTTTCATGGTCTACGACATTCTGATTCGCGGGTTCTTGGATATAGGGAATTTCGTAAAGGCTAGCCAAATCTTCAAGGAATTGGAAGGACTGGATAGGAAATTTCCATGGAGAGAGTATCACAAGGCATTTGCAATTTTTAATGTTTCGTTTGTGAACTATTTTTTCAAGCAAGGTAAAGATGAGGAAGCTATGGAGATTCTCGCAACTCTGGAAGATGCTCAAGTTCTGAAACCCATTGTCGGAAACAGGGTTTTAAAAGTTCTTGTGGAGCACGGCAAGAAAACAGAGGCCTGGGAATTGTTTGAAGAGATGATAAAAATCTGTGATTCCGAGACGATTGACATAATGTCCGAGTATTTTATTGAAAATACTGTACCATTCGAGCGGCTCAGGACAACGTGTTATAGGACGATGATCGCAAGTCTCTGCAAGCATGGAAGAGTGTTGGAGGCCGAGAAATACTTCGCAGAGATGTTTACCGACGCTGAGATATTTACCGACGTTGATGGAGAGGACTTGTTGGTGGGGCCTGACCTTTCAACATTCAGAGCAATGATCAATGGATATGTTAAGGTAGGGGCAGTCAATGATGCTATCAAGACTTTGAACAAGTTGCGGATTTCAAATATTAGAAAGCTTGCTATTCATCGAGCCCCATAAGTTGCATTTGTGCTTCTTTCTATAGTCTATCAACTCATATTATCATGTACTGATTTTTAGTATTAGATATAATTTATGCCAAAGCACGAGTCTATACATTAGTAGGAAATTATCTTCCTAATCTCAAAGCCTACACTAACCTCCTTAACAAAAAAAAAACAAACATGGGAAGTATAACACCCAGCTTAGCAAAAAGAAGACACGGCTGTCTCCTCAACAAAGACTGATCTAAGCCACTCCGGGTAAGAAACTGCAACATAAGATTGCAACCTCAGGTCAGGTCCCCTGTGGCACTTTGTGTAATGAGACTAGCTCCTCTGTTTGCTTTCTCAGCTTCTATCCCCAATCTCCAGCCATTGATGTGCCTTAAGATTCTTCTCAGTTCCATTGCCTGAAACCTTAAAGAAGGCCACGCTCTTGGCCTTATCACCGGCCCAACTAAACTTTATCCTGAATGGCAAAAACCACATTAGACAACCTGTGACTTATCATGCTTTCCATCGCCCATTGGCCCCATTCAGTGACTTTTAAAATCCTTCTTCCTTGTCTCTAATATTAGAGAAAGCGCTTTGGCTGTGTAGAATGACAACACCTTCATCATTTCTTAAAACCCAAGCACCTCCAGCCATTTTATTCCTTTTTCACCAAGACAAACCAACATTGCATACCATTTGCATACCATTCAAACTCTATTATTTTTTATTATATTTTTTGACATCCATTCAAACTCTATTATTATCTGTCTAAAACAAGTATCTAAAAAAAAAATACATTAAATAAAGCCACCAAGTGACGAGGAATGGTCAAAAGAGATGGGAGACCTCCTTTAGAGTTGCATCGATCATCTTGTTGGAGGTTTTTATAGCATCATCGATTCTTCCAGCCTTCACATAAGCATCGATCATTGTTTTAAAAGTCTTAACATCAACGTATCCAATATCATCAGCAAGTGAATCAACAAAGACAGACTCTGCTTCTGACAACATCCCATTTTCGCAACACCTTGTGATAATGTATCCGTCATTGAATACAGTAAAATAGAAAGAGACTGCTCCGTCTTCTTCTTCACAACACTTTGTGATATTGTATCTGTCACTGTTCTTGGCTCTCGCCTTCTTGTAGGTCTCCATAGCCTCGCCAAGTCGACCCATATCAAAACACTCGTCCACCATTATCTTAATGGTATCAGAGTCTGTTCTACGTTCATCTAAGAGTTCATGGTACAATGCCCAAGCATGTTTTTTCTCACCGTATTTGAGCAGGACTACCAAAAGGGCGTTACCCGTTTCGGCACAAACCAGTAACCTGTTTGATAGAACAGAACGGTTGTAACACTCCATAGCTTCCACCTCTTTACCTTGCTTAAACCAGTACTCCATGAATGTGGCCATCACGAATGCGACTCTGCTTTCATAGTTTGAATGGTGCAAATCATCTTTGGTCTCGGAAAGAGCAATCAAAAACAAGCGTTTGAATTCGTCCAAGACTAGATTCGCCTTGTCTAAATTCCCAAGATCCAAAAACCCGCGAATCAGATTGTTGTACGCCACGTGATCTGGGTAGATGATCCTATCGACTTTCCTGTCTCTAAGCAAGGCTTCGGCTTCGTCCAATCGACCGGAGTGGACTAACCCTTTAGTCATGACCCTGAAAGTATCGGTATTTGGGTAGTCGTGGATTTCTTTACCAAATTTGATGGGCCGGTGGTACAATTCGAGAGCATCGTCAATAACGCCTTGTTGTAAACCAGATTCGAGCATGTAGTTCCAGCAATGGCTGTTGCGTATTAGCTTATGCTCATTGAAGAAGAAATCGAAGAGATCGTAAGCATCCTCGGGCCTTTTATCCCGCAACATGCCTCCGATGATGGATTGACATGTCTTTATTGTGGTCTCCGATTTGAATCTGGTGAAAACAGCCAAACGAGCGTACTTCGCCGCCGTGTCGAGATCTCCAACGAATCTGATCAAGTACGTGACTCTCAAGCATAGCTGCGTAGGACGGCAATCTGGGTTTGACATTATGTCCTCCGCTCTTCTTGGCAGGGCGGTGGAGAAACGCCGACCAAGATTGAGGCGGCAGATCAGAGACATCATTATTATTGGGTAGGCACAACAATGACGGCTAGGGTTTTGGAGTAAACGGATACATATCCTTTATTTATTTTTTATTATATAAAGTTTGGTTCTCAAATTTAGTAACTCACGAGATCGTCACATATGTCAAATTTTTCGATCTGTGATTTAGACATATGTCAAATAAAAGAAAAATTTTAAAAAAATAATTGTAAAAAAATAATTATAAAAGACTAAAATTTTTAACAATTTTAAAATATAAAAAGCTAATTATTAGGAAATTGTATATATATTTCCATAAGATTTTTTGTCATCTAGCAAACAAAAATTTTATTTTAAAAATATAATTATAACAAAATTATATATTTAAACAGTTTTAAAAATATAAAAAGATTATAATAAGAAAACTATACATGTATATAAGGATTTTATATGTATATTTCCATAAAAATCAAAATTATAAAATTATGCTAAACGTTTTATTTATAAGTTACTAACTGTACAAAAAAAAAATTAAAATTAGAAAATAATTAAGAAAATTATAAAATCAGTTCTTAATCATATAAGAAGAAAATAGTAAACAGTCACCTTTATATAAACAAATAGATTATCTCATATTTTTTCATCAAACAAACTAATTTTTTAACGATTTATATCATATCAATTATAAAAAAATATTTCGAATCACGATGTTTTTCTAAAAATAGCATATGATATTCAGATCTAATATGGCAATTGAGAAAAATTAATAATTATGAACGGCGATAGACATAGACTAGAGTTATTGTCGGAGAGGATTGATCTAATGTCGGTGGAGATAAAGTAGGTGGAG